TGTTCCAACAAAATGAAAAACCTGATACTCTTTAGATCTTGGAAAGACCCCTCACACTGCAGTTACTAGTTCAGGAGAAGGAATTCCTTTGTCTGCTCACTGAAATGGAGGAATGTTCTCAGGGCATCTGTGGGAGCAGAGGATCCAATGAGGATTTCGTTTATGGGGAAACCAAGACTTCTGAAACTCTTTCTTAAGTGAGACTTGACAGAGACTGACCCTGGTTCAACAAGTTATGTAGACACCCAGCTTCTCACTTGTGGTGAAGAGGCTTCGTGCCTTTTTAATTCCATCAATGAGTTTCACTGGAGTTGAAGACACCTTTTGACCTAGAATGATGATGCAGAAGTGAATCTCTACGTTGAGCTTTCAGGTGCTGAGATTTGCACTTGTTGTAGACAGCTGTCAGTCATAGTGTTTGAAGTGCCTCACAAGAGACATCAACTTTTGAAGCAGTAGATACAAAATATTAAAGATACAGTTATATATTCTCTTTGATGCCTGGGCCTTTTGGTCTCTATTCAATCTTGCATCTCTTGTACCATTCTCTAAGGCAATTTTCCTCGCAAACCATTGCAGAAAGCAAAGATGCAGATGTACCAAATACTTCTCTTTTCTTCTGATTGCTTTGTTTTTCTTCAGGTGGGAAGGGAAGTGAACAACCTTTAGGCTGTATCCAAATTGAGTACAGGAGTAATGTTGCCTTCCAAAAATTCAGATGAGGAAGCACCACATCTTCTATTGCTTGGCCAAGCCACAGGCTGTCAGTTGCCATTACAGATAAATACTGTAGACCTTCTTGAAAGAAAATTTTTTGCTGTATGTTACCCTTTTATCTTAAATAGATTTATTCCATGACTCGTATGCCATCAGATTACTCTTCAGTACAGCAAGCAAGCAAGTATGCAAAAACAGTATCACATCTCAGCTATTTGTAAAACCTTTCTTCTATACCTAGTCTACAATATAATTTGCTTAAAGTTATTGCTCTTGAAACTGAAAAGAAAAGCAGTGCTATTACTGAAATGAACTTTTATTTTGTCCTTAAGGCAAAGATTCGAAGTCTGAAGGAATCAACCCGTCTCCAGTATCTTTGGTGCCAGAAGAGAAGGTCTCTTTTGGTCTGTATGCGCTGTCAGTTTCTTCATTTACAGTGGCAAAAATAAGAAAAGTTTACAACAAGTTGGATAGTAAAGCTATTGCCAAGCAGGTATGTTGGGAAATGAGTTGGTTAATGTGTACTGGTTTTCTGTTCCTTTCTTTTAACTTCTTTCAAGGCAATTTGCCCAATGCAACAAGGAGCAATAAGATACTTGTCAGAAGAGTTGCCCATAATCACTTTCATGTTTTTTTTTTAAAAAAAAAAATAGAATTGGTGGAGATTGTACTCCTAGATTTTATTCACATTCTTGAAATTACTAGTAGTTATATATCTTAGCACCTTTTGGAGGTATTTTGGCTTTTTAATGTAGATGGCAGTTGTAATCCTGTTGAAAAACAGTCAAGATTATATCGTTGAGCAATATTTCTGCTGTTGCAGATGAACAAAGCTGATAGCTTAGTGCTGTGACTGCAATTCAGATTTGGAAACTAGAATATTGTTTTACATTTTTATTCAAAGTACATTAAAAGTCAGTGAATTATTTGTCCAAAGGGCCATCTGTGAAGAAAGGCTGAGACTGTTGGGGTTGTTTAGGCTGAAGAGAAGGCTCTATGGAGACCTTATTGCAGCCTTTCAACACATAGAGGGGCTTACAAGAACAATGGAGAGAGACTTTTTACCAGGGCCTGTAGTGACAGGACAAGCAGCAGTGGTTTTAAACTGAAACAAGGTGGATTTAATGGGTATAAGGGTGAAACTTTTTACGTTGAGGGTGGTGAGACACTGAAGAGGTTGCCTAGAGAAGCTGTGAATGCCCCATTCCTGCAAGTGTTTGAGGCCAGGTTGGATGGGGCTTTGAGCAACCTGATTTAGTGGAAGATGACCCTGCCCACAGGAGGGGGATTGGACTAGATGATCTTTAAAGGTCCCTTTCAACCCAAACCATTTTATGATCCAGTGAGATTATTTTTATAGTTAGATTCATCTTCCTTAAACTTTGAAGACTGGAGGTTTCTCTTTAGTTTAGAGAATGTCTTAATGACTCTAGCATAGTACTGTTTTGTTATATGTTACTGACTCTTTATCACAGGAGGAAAATACACAAGTTATGTTCAGACTTGCATAAAAAACCCTCTTCCCTTTAGCCCCTGCTTTTTTCCTTGTTTTGTTCAGCTGGCGATTTCTTCTCATGAAAATGCCACACCTGTGAAGCTGCTACATAACTCAGCAGGGCATTTGAATGGACCAGCACGCTCCATTGGTGCAGCTTTGATAGGATATTTGGGTGCGTACTTGAGGCTTACTATGTTTAAGAATGGTTAATTACTTGTCAATGAGAATTTAGGTCTGGAAGATAAATCATGTAATTGATGAATGTTAATGGTACATTGTTAAATTTTACGGACATACTATTATCTTTTCTTTTTCCTAACATGGGATGCTTGTTGCATTTTATATGAGTTATCATTGTGAAAATATACTTAATTACTGTATCTTAAGTCGTAAACTATTTTCCAGTGCAATATTTCCTTCACCTCCTCTTCTGAAGTGTCATAGTTGTTCTACTAATATTATTTTCATAATTCAGGCAATGCTAGAATGCAGATTACTTGCCTATATTCACAATGATTTCCTACAAGAATTAAATTTGATCTTATTTTAATTTACTTTCTCTGCCTATGCTCAGGAGTAAGAACATTTGTCCCCAAGCCTGTTGCCACTACACTGCAGTACATTGGTGGAGCTGCTGCTATTTTGGGACTTGTAGCCATGGCATCAGATGTAGAAGGGTTGTATGCAGCTGTGAAGGCCTTGGTCTGCGTGGTAAAGAGCAATCCACTAGCCAGCAAAGAAATGGAAAGAATCAGAGGTTATCAGGTATGTAAGAAACTTCTTAAAACAGAGTAGGCTGATTGAATTTCACTGTCTGTCCTAGCAGCTCCTGTGGAAGTTCCTTGTTATGTTGTGGTAACCTCAGTTTCTGTTCATAAGTTTACTGAGCTCTTGGCTAGTTAGCATAGGTGATTTATTTAGGATGGCTTTTAAAGGAAAGGGTGCAAAGTTTTGCTAAGCAGTTGTGCACGTTAAGCTGCTTTGCTCATACTGAGCCTTCATTAATAGCAAGGAAGAGCACAACTATGGCACTTAGATGACTCCTTTCCTGTGATTGTGAACCCACCCCTGCTAGCCTGTGAGCTTCTGTGTCCATGATCTGCCAGCAAAAGAGGAGGATAGGGACACATGAAGAAAACCAAACAAGTGGACTCCTAGAGTCATCATTTTGAGGAGACTGCCCAGACTTTATTGTTGGTGATGCTGTTCGCTTTCAAGCTGAAGACTTCTTAATTCTCCATCGGGATGAGGAAAATACAATTTATTATGCAGAAGGATTGGTTGACTGACTTGAGAAGATCTTCATGTGACCAATGCATTTTACATTTTTCATGAAGACTGCTTTCCTGAAACGGAAAGGTCACACTGTGGTTTGAGTGGCATATTTAAAAACCTTGTAATGCTAGTGGATAGTATAGTTACATCAAAAGATATTCCATGTAGCCTGTTGCAGACCTTGGCTTACTTTGACCAAACAAGTCTAGACAGTGTCCTCCTTGCACCATAAGCAGTCAGTGGATCATCACATATGACCTTATGTTCCACTTGTATTCCCCTCAGCGAATAGCATAGTTTGAGAGAGGTTCCCAGAAATCCCTATTTCTTTAGTAATGTTTCAAGGAGGATGGTGAAGCTGAACAGGCCAGTATGCTGAGAGTGTAACAAGTTTGCATCAGAAGACAGGAAATAGTAATAGTACATCTGGTAATCGGTTCTTTCCCAACCCAAATTATAAGAAATCAGAGCAGAAATGAGGACAGAAAGGATGACATCTACAGTCGTGCCTAGGGCAACAAAGAAAAAAGAAAGTCAGGCTTATTCAGATTTATGTTGTCATGGACACTTTTCTCCAGTGCCAGAATACCTCTTGTTCATGCATGCGGTACTCTAGGTGTGCTCTATTTAAGTCTGCCATGTCCGCAGTTTCTGTCCAGGAACACAACTGTCTGAGAATGTGTCATGTGCTGTCTTAAACTGGGTCTGACTACCAGAGAGCTGAGAGGGGGAAGGGGGATGTGTGTGTGCCTAATCCTCAGGGATACTGTCTGCAGTGTAGAACAGATGTTTTCTGAGCTGAGGGTGTCCTAGATGTGCCCCTTTTCTAATCATCCATAATGCCACTTTCAAGCTTTTTCATCAAGAGTATCAACTATCAGACGTTCTTGAAGGGCCTTCTCAAAAGGGACACAGACAGTTCATCCATGCTTCTTTGTGCTTAGACAATGCTGTGTGTTCATAGGCTACTAATTCCTTTTCTATTTGGTTATTCAAGCTACTGGCAATGCTGTTAAAGAAGAAACGATCCCTTCTGAACAGCCACATACTCCATCTGACCTTTTCCTTGGTGGGAACTGTCGATAGTGGGCATGAGACGTCCATTATTCCAAATTCTGCTGCCTTCCAGGATCTGCTCTGTGATTTTGAAGTATGTAAAGCTGGACATAAAAGTGACGATGATGCTGGATAGTGATGAAGTCAGATGCCAATAGCATACCTTAAATATTGAACAACAGCAAAATAGGTTGTTATCCTGAGAACTTACTATTTCGTATATAGTATAGTAAAGCAACCGAGCAGCAAGATTATTGGTAACTTTTCCTGATGAAATGGCTTGACTCACTGTAGAAACAATGAATGGGTACCACAGATGTTTCTGCTTTTTGTTGTTCTAGAAGATACATTTTGTAGTTTTCTGTTCAGCAATTTCTTTTAACCCATGTGTTTTACTGCAGTACACATTTCAAGGCATGAGAGACATACTGAAAATAATAGTAGGAGTAAACTTTCAACATAGCACATAGGAATCCCTTTATCATACATCTCCTGCAAAGTTAATAGTAAGGCAGTTAAAATTCTGCTTGCGTGACCTATGAAATATCTAATTGTTGTGTTAAACTAAGGAAAGTAGAGAAGTTCAGAAGGAAATGCTAATGTAATGGGAGACTAATAAACAATGTGTAGAACTCATCATTAACTGTTTGCTCCTTTGGCATTGTATGTACCTGACACAGACTAAGTAAAAGTATTCTGATTCACATACATGAAAATAAATAAATAAATAAAATTCTACTGCCACTAGCAATGCAGCTATAAGATACTGACTTAATAGCACAAGTCCATCTTGCACAGATGGCTTTATGGAGTTAACCATTTCCTGGTTTTTAGTTGTCTGAGTATTTGAAAGCACTCCTAGAAACTTTATTTAAGGGTCTTGTCTATGAAAAAACTCTTGCTGCTTACTATAGCCTTTATTTTAATAAAATCAACTGGCCTTGTTAACTTTGTTTTTTTCGAGAGCTTAAAGGTCTTTAATGCACCCAATCCCTCCCTTGCCATCAACAATACACTGTAATTATGGCACAAAGAGGAAATGAAAAGGACAGACCTGAGCCTCTTTTTTTTTTTTTTTTTTTTTTTTTTAAACCTTAGTGGGATTCTAATACAGAGGAAATTTGTCATCCACAGAAGTTTCCTCCCTTTTTTTGAGGCATAATGTTAAAACTAGGCATAAGTTTGTGCCATGTCTAAACATAAAATCTTCAGTAGCGTGTAGCTAGTTATTCCTTAACAAATTTGAATTACAGCAATGCTTCCTTTTGCTCACAAAATTAAGCATAGGCTTAATAGAAGTTATTACGTCTACAACAGGTAATGCTTGTGGTAGAAGTCTTAAGGTAAATTAAGGTTCAAAAAAAAGAAGAGTGAATCACAACCCATCTGCTTTTACAGTGAGGCGTGAATTCTGCTGAAGAATACTCTTTTTTGTTTCCCCCATAAAGGAACCAGCTGAAAAATTTCATCAATATAGTCATTCAAACAGCAACTACAGTACAAAAGATCCAATTCTGTAGTGTTTAGTGTCTGTCTTTTTTTTTTCCTCCCCTGAAGCCCAAGAACAACTGGAAAACTAATATACTTAAGAGACTGAAAAATAAAAAAAATGTGCAAGTAATAGGTCTGTAAGTCACTAAGAAGAAACTTTACAAAAGCTTGGTGTTTGTGGGTTTTTTTAAATTATTTATTTTATTTCTGTATTCAGAAATCAGTGACCCAGACATTTCACTTAAATTGGATAAATTAGATGTTCTTATTCTCATACTAAACAGGGAAAGGAAAAGATTTGTTCTGGTTGTTTTAGATGAGGAGATGAGAAGAAAAGCAAAAGATAGAAGGCTTTTCGTTTAAGCCAAGTTTTATACACCAGAGTACAAGTATTAATTATGCTTTGTTCAATAGCAAGCTAGTTTTAAGATTTGTAGCTATAACTGCAAGCTTTCTGGCTTTTGTATCTTTTATTACTTCTATTGATTGAACAATTGATTATTTTTTTTTTTTTTTTTGGTAGAGGACATAAATAATTTTAAATGGTGTGCAGGAAATGCTGGGTAAAAATAAAATAAATTTAAAAAAAAAAATCAAAATCAGAGAAGACCTTGAGCTTAAGCTTGACTGAAGATAGTAAGTTAATTTTACAAAGAGAAAATCCTCACTTAAGTCAAATAAACTTAACACAGCATTTCACATCAGCCTTGTAAACCTCAATAGCTCCTTTGGAGTCATTGCTCTTTAAAAAGAAATTCCAGATACCATGTAACTTTTTTGTCTAGAGCATCATATGCTTACAGAGAATATGTTTGGTACCAATGTGTGTTTCTTTAGTCTTCACTAGTATATTTAACACGTGTCTAAAGTTGAAGAGTAAGAAATTGAGAACCTTGCAATGCACTTTTCAGCGCAATGCTCAGGTGAATAGTCATATAGACAAACAGTTTTAATCTCTTCGAGCCTTTCATAACCTTTGGTATATGAATGCCAGTTTTTAATCTTAAAGTGGATTTGTTTACAAGACACATTGTTGTTTATTCTGTATTTCAGGTCTGGCTTCATGCACCGTATGAGCTTCATCTGTCATTATTTGAGCACTTCATTGAACTTCTCACTGAGTCAAGGTATGAGCCGATGCCAGCCTAGTAATGAGACTCACATCGTTAGGTAATATGTAGAAGGTGCTCCGATTTTAAATTGCAACCTTCTTTCTTTCCTTCTTCCAGTGAGGCGGCAAAGAACGCTAAGCTGATGAGAGAATTCCAACTCATCCCAAGACTGCTCTTGACTCTTCGAGATATGTCTCTGTCCCAGCCTACTATTGCTGTGATTAGTAATGTGCTGAGCTTTTTGCTTCAAGGCTTCCCTAGCAGCTATGACTTGCTCAGGTAGCCTCACCTGTGATAATTCTGGGTTTCCTGGTTTTATTATGTTGGTGATCTTGGTCAAAAATACTTAATGGTCACACTGCTGTAGAGTAAGTAACATGAAATGCTCATGTACTGAATTTTTTCCTCTAAGAACTAGACTGTACTAGACATATGCAATAATTGTTAATGCCTTGATTTGCATATTAAATTCAGTTTGTATCTAGGTTTGACTGATTAAAACTGGCTTGACATTCAGCACGTGAAAAGCAAAGATGCTGTATTGCAGCTCCCTTGTTCATGTGAAGTACTGGGCACTTTTCTTAAATACTGTTGAATATTACTTGAGATGGAGTATAATGATACTTCTGGTTAAAATGCAGAATTGGTTACTCTCCTACATGAAAAATTTAGTTCAAGATTTTTTCGTAATCATCACTGTGTAAAAGAAAATATTTAAGGCTGTCAGATATAGTACAATTAATTCTGACTGATGAAAGTTACATAAATAATTGCAATTTGTATGTACAGGAGTATTTGAAATGCTTTTAAATGAGTTCAGCTCCTTGATAACACAGTTTTTCTCATCTGCCATTTCATTATAATGGAAATGGATAAAATATTGCAGGGCTTGGGAATTCTTTGCATACTGAGTGGTCATGTTTCCAGCTTCTCATTTTAAGTACAATTAAAGGTATCAGAAGCATCAACCTGAACATCTTACCTGGCTTTATTTTAATTATACAGGACAAAAAAAATGATTCAAGAATAAAACTGTTGAATTTATGCTTAAATCATTACAGAAGAGATTGCACAATGCCTGTCTGAGTGTTCCTTTTTCTCCTTCATGGAAGTAAAAATAAAAATATCGTATAACTTGGGAAAAGTTATACAAGCTAGGGACTGTTTCAAGTTAGTTCCAGAGGAAAGAGGAATATATTGCATCTTCTGTTTTGAGTAGCACATAGACATCTTGTCTTGGAAAACCGTGACCTTGTGTTACATCACCTCAAGCTATAGGCATAAATGTTACACCAGAGTCGAGTAATCACTAGTTTTGATGTAGTATTTGTTCAGCTTTAATGGTTTGAGAATAATGTTTTGCTATGCTTTTACTAGGACTTGGTGGTATCTCCCAGTTTCCTTTCTTGAATCCTAGCATTTTCAGGGTCCCTTACCTGCAGACTTGTCTGCAAAGATTCCATTAATTACTACGTGTTAATTTGGTTTTTGGCTAGTAACTTCAGATGGGGAGACAATTTTCTTCAATCTTTGGATGTGAGAAAGTTGACATTTTTGGGTGTCTCCCTCTCACTAGTGTTATGGTTCTATATTTAAGGCAAATTATTGATAGATGGGACTGCATCTGTCATATCAATGACTTATGTTTTTTCTGTATACATAAAGGTTTGGACAGTTCATCTCTTCCACTTTACCTACGTTTGCAGTCTGTGAGAAGTTTGTAGTCATGGAAATAAACAATGAAGAAAAGCTTGACAGTGGTAAGTGATGATGTGGCTTAGAAGCAGTAAAAGAGAAATGCTTTGTGATCTCTTCTGTGCTTAAATATGTAAAATGTAGAAATAGTATTAGCAATATTGTAAGTGGTACTTTAGTTTTTAGTATTGCATGCAAAGCAGTGCAAGACCCATGTACTCTTGTTTTTCTTCATTTAACACTGCATGGTTTTGTTCAGTTTCCTCCATTTGCTCCTTCAAATCAGCTGTGCATCTCTGCTTCTTTGTGGGGAAAGAAGACAGACAAAAATGGATTACTAGGTGCATCTGCCCTCCAGGGGTGGAGGAAGTGAAAGGATTAGCTAAGACAGCCTAGTTATTTTTTTAGGCTAAAAAAAAAAGTTTTGCTGTCCTTCAAGAATGCTTATGTTGCTGCTTTTTTTTTTTTTGAGACCATTTCTACCCTTGTTTTCCTAAAGAAAAGTCTTATGCAGTTGCGTTTTCAATCAGTCTCCCTGAACAGAAATGTTTTAGCCTCATAGTGGATGTCACCCAAATAACTAGAAGGGAGTGCCCAAAGATCCTATGTTTCTATATCTCTTGGGAATATACTGGTGCACAGGGACAAGTGGGAGAGAAGTGTTTCTGCTTTACAGTTAGCTTTATTGGTCTCGATTCCCAAAGAACAAGGTTTAGGCAGTCTGCACATTCATCATTATCCCCCTGTGCCTCTCTTGTTCCTTCTGAGTACTTTTGCTGAGTCCTAAAGATGATTAAATTCAAGCTTTTTAGTGAAAAAGAGGGAGCGGGTATTGGAGAGAGAGCCAGACTGGTGTTCTCACTGCAGGCCAGCACTGTTTTTTTTCCCAGGGTAACCGCAGCCTGAGCTGCTTTTTGCCTACCTGGGGGACTGAAGAACCCTGGGGAGAAATTCAGGCTGTGGCAAGAATGAAGAGAGAAGCTTTTGATGTGCAAAGCACATGAGATTTTTAGGTTACTGGTCTTCACCCGTTTTGCTGTATTTCTGCCATAGACAATGCTTTGTGTTTGTGTCTGTGACTTGTGCACAACACCTTGGCCCAGAAAGTGTCCGTTTATCTGTCTTCATTTTTGCACATCTCGCCTCAAGTTTTGATTTTCCTATTCTTAAATAGTTCTAAAAACATGATCCTTCTTTGACAGAGTAAGGTACAATAAGAGGGATTTGCAAAATACCTGTAAAGCCAGTCCTGAGCTGCATGTATTGACTTGTTTTGGAGAACTGATGATGAATTTGGGGATCTGTGGAAAAAAACCCTAATTTTTCTACTCATTTCTTAGATTTGGAGGGAGTTGGGAAGTTTTTTCCTTGGGATTCCCACCCCACCCCATTCCTCACAGAATGTGTCATGGAAAAAGTTTACCTAACTACCGTGTTTGGGGTTTGGGAGGAGGTGTTTGATTGATTGTTTTTATATCTCTACCTTCCAGGAGTGACTAGCTTAGCTAATTTGGACCACCTCAGTTTAGATAATTGTCTGAGAAGCTGTGATTCCCTTTTACCTGTTCTTCAATCTGACCAAACTCTGTGACGATAATGGGGCACCAGGCATTTCTCAGCAGCGTGTAGCAGGCTGCCTGCACTTGAGCATGGCTTCCTTGCAACCTGAGCAGCATCAGGTTGCATTTGCTTATGTATGAAATTTATGAATAGCCTTTAAAATGTCCACGTTCCAAAAGCCTAATTTTGCCTTTTTTTTCTTTTCTTTTTTTTTTTTTTAATATGTTTAGGAACAGAGGATGATTTTGGAGGACTTGTTTCAGCTAATCTTATACTACTGCGGAACAGGCTTTTAGATATCCTTCTGAAACTTCTATACACATCTAAAGAAAAGACAACTGTTAATTTGCAGTAAGTACAAAATAAACTTGAGGTTGAGAAAGGATATAATTTTTTAGTTCAAAGGGGAGAATTATACAGCCCCCATTCAGTTCACTAGTTGAATTGGCTAATTTTTTTGGAACTTTTGAATGATTTATGCAGATGTCACTGAATTAGCTTTGGGTAGGCTAGCAGAAGCGGAATGCATGATTATTGAGTTGTCTGCTGTCTGCTAGCAAGAACGGTAGTACCAAGTGGATACTCATGTAACTAACACATATCTTTCAGCTATTGCATTAACTGTTTTTTGTTTTGAATCTTTGAAATAAAAAGTTTTAGAACCATGATTGACAGCGTTAGTAGAAACGTGTTTCAATGTAGGAACAACAGAAGTATGTATCAGCAGGAGAGGAAAATACATAGTAGATTTGCGGGGAGATTGCTTACTTCTTATTGTTACTTTAAGGAAGAAAAACAGTGTTTGTAAAATTGTTAATTTTAAAACTTTGAGGGGCAGAGGATCACAAGTGAGCAGAATGCAGTGGGAACAAATGTGGCTGGCTGGCTACTTTGGTTTTTGGTTTGTTTGTTTGTTTTTTTTGTCTGAGGTTTTGTTATCTGGAGAGCCAGTTCTTTAACCCTCTGCTCTCCTTGCATACTTCTTGGTGCTGTTTTCTCATAACTTCACATGTGGCTATAGAGAAAATAAAATCTGTCAAAAGAGAAAAATTGTGTTTTTAGAGAAGTGGGATAGTCAACTTCTCATTTGGTTAAGATCAAATGACTTTAGTAGGGATTATCATTGGCACTAAAATGCTCATTAGTTCCTTAAAATTGCAGGTAAGGGAACATGATGTTACAGTTTAATGAGGCACTAGAGTCACACGGTGAGTTGGAGAAGAGACTTAGAAACACTGTCAAGTTAAACCTTGACAAAATAAAACTTGAGCAACTGCTGGGTAGGCTGTCTTGAGTCCGTTGGAGGCATTTTGTGGACTTATTGCATATGTAGGTTATGTAGTGATTGACTAAGCATTGGTTGGCACATACCCCGAACCTGTTTGAGCTTTCAGCAATGCTGCTTTTTTTTTTTAAAAAAAAAAAAAAAGGGGGGGACACACACCATATTGTTTCAAATATTCACAAGCAACTCTTCCCTTAATTAAAAAACCAAACAAACAAACAATGAACAACCTTCACTTTTTAATACCAGTTTATTAAAAAGGCTTGTAAAAACTCTCTACTTGTTGTTTGGCTCAACAAAAAGTGTTTGGAAATGATAATTTATGGACAAGCGTTTCCATTCAGCATTCCACATTTGTTATCAAAAGCCGCAGTTGAAGAAATCTCAATGGAAATCACAATGGAATAGTCCCAGGAGCTGTATTTAGTCTTCACTTTCTGCTAAACAAATACACTGTGTGTGTTCCATTTAACAAGATGTGGTGAGCAACATTTCTTGTTTTATGACAAACTTAAGAACTCTTCCATATATTTGAATTTTCTCCAGTCTTGAAGTTTGCCCTGTAGTTGAGGACACTGATTTTAGCTGCTTAATAGGAAACTAAATGCTGTAAATCGTGACTTTTTTTTTTTTCTTTCTCTTTAATTAGGGCTTGTGAAGAACTCGTCAAGACACTGGGTTTTGATTGGATTATGATGTTTATGGAGGAACATCTGCATTCCACCACGGTCACAGCAGCCATGCGAATTCTTGTGGTCCTGTTGAGTAATCAGTCCATCCTTACCAAATTTAAGGAGGGTCTCAGTGGTGGAGGCTGGCTCGATCAGACGGATTCTGTCTTGACCAATAAGATTGGTACTGTGCTAGGTACGAGATCTCAGCCCCCTCGTGACTGAAGGATTGCATGGGAGTGTGTGTGCATACATGCCAAGGTGGGGGTTGTTGTGTGAATGCTGTCCTTTCTGTTACTGTTGTCTGTGCTGTGATCAGCTGCCTCTGCACTTCTTTTTTTCTTACAACTAAGATTTCCTAGACAAGAGGGAGCAGTTACACAAAACTGCCCTTAGCTGACATTACACAGATTTCATTGTAGTTCACTATTACCTCATCATCTGCATGAAGCTTGTGTAGCTAATCGGATTTTTTTCCTGTTACCATCATGGTAAGGTGAAGTATGTCCTGTGGGCAGGCACATCTGAGGTGGATGCAGAGGTAGCATAGCATAGCACCTTATGTACACAGCTAATAAAGATTCCGTAAAATTTACTTGTTTCTTTACTTTTATTAGTTAGAGCTTCATGCGGTGTTATACCTGAGCTGCTTTGTCTAGTGAGTTCTGTGCCAATTAAATTTACCTGTTTGGTTTTTTGCTGTCTTGGGAATTTCTGTGTTCACTGTGTCATCTCAGCCTTTCTTTTCCTCTCCCTCTCCTGCATTCCTCTACATGCATGCATGGACACTTGCACTGTGTCTGTTATTAAAGACTTTCTTTGCAGGTTCTTAAGGCCTCGTTTATCTAGGTTATCAGACCTTTCCATTACCCTATGTGATCTAGAATTTGGTGAATAAGGCTTTAGTGCTACAGGATGCATTTTGAGCATCTCTAAGCTGTTCGAAATGCATGTCCAAGTGTCTGAAGTAATGGATGTCAATTCTGTGTAGACAGGTGCAATGGGGATTTCCCATGGACCTGTTTTTTTTTAGTCAAAATAAGATAGTGCTTCAGGTCCATTCAGACCCTGATGCAAACTCATTGACATTAAATGGAAGTCTTTCAAGAGCTTGAGTAGGCTTTAGATCAGGGCAGTGGTATTAACAGTACTTTAAACTTAATTGTTGTTCCTAAAATGACTGTATGAAGAACCACCTCTCTGTGTTGCAGCAGTATATGATCTGTTTCTGTGATAAAGATTTTTCCAAATTGGTTTATTATAAGGAAGTAATTGTGAAGTATTGTTGAAGTGATCTTACTTCAGGAAGAGGGCTTTTTGTGAAATGAAAATATAAAGTCCATTTTTTTTCGGCCTTGTCCTTTGAAATCTGTGAACGTATCTTATGCTATCTTGTTATTTTTTGCATAAATAAAATTGTCTATTAAGTCTGTCTATTTACAGTGGTTTCCCATAATATATTCCTCAGGACATTCAGCTAGGAACACATAATGGTTCTTTGAGTTATTAATGAATTAGGAAGGTTAAGGAAAACAGGTTTTCTGAAACCGTATTACATGTGTGAACATTTATTGTTAACATACTATATAGCATGTGTTGTTTGGCTAATTCTGACTAAGGTCCTGTATTTTATTTAAGAAAGAATTTTTGAACATGCATATGCCTTGCATATATGTGCCTTAAAATTCGAAAACCATTGGTATTTTAGGGAATTGACTGTTGTTTAGTCAGTATCCACTTTAAATGTCCAATAGCATAAAAATTTTCTTTAGTCTAAGTAATTTACAATTGCAGTTGGAGAGCATTTGTAGAGTTTTCCTATTTTTCTTATTATAGTATCACTTTAACTGAATCCAAGCTAGACTGTGACCAAACAGGTATTTTTAAGCTTGTGTCTCAGGAAATGATAGTGACAGATTATCTAATTTTCATACCCTGTATTTTATTAACAAATTACAACACATTGGTGCCAAGATTTCTCATGAAACCAAATATGAGCCATTTTTGTTCAAGATTATTGATGGAATTCCTGCAACTTTGTAGCATAGATTTCATTAATCTGATTCCTGGTAGAGGTTTTCTGTTTAAAAAGTCAATTTCTGGTGGAAAGAAGGTATTAGAGCCTCAGAAAAACAACCTGATCTCTGGCAGTGTCAGAAGAATGGCTCAGTGTGCTGATGCGGAGACAGAACAGGCAGTCTTCCTGCCTCCTTCCTCACTTGAAAATAAGTGCTTCTGCCTTCCCAGTGTATTTTTTTTTTTTTTAATAGGAAAATGAAATACCTAGGTAGAAGCAAGGTCACAAAAGGTGAGTTTTGTGCCTCTGGTATGGCACTTATAAAATAAGAGCATTTACTGCTTCATACCAGCTGATTAATCAGTAACAAAATAGCTGAAACAAGGTGCCCCTGAGACACCTTTGGAAACAAATTAACCGCCCATTGACTTAAAGGGGCCATGGGATTGCTGCTGGTAATATAAATCTGTAGCTGAGATTAAGGTGGTACTTCCCTCTCAGCCAGCGAAGTATCTTTTTTCAGAAGCTTGGGTGTTTTAAAAGTCTGAAATGGTGGTCACTGTCAGAAAATAGATCTGTCTGTGTATGCAGTAGCATTAGGCAGCTGTATGGAGCGGTGTCATCTGTGTGGTACTGGAAGGCGATAGTTTCTTTTTTTATTGATTAAAAAAATTAGACCTCTCAAGCAGAATTGCACAATATGTGTGTGATGGTCTGTATGCACACATTCCTTTTTTACAGCGTTAATTTCTGAGGAGCTACCCTCTTGAGTTCACTGCTTGCGTACGAGTGAGCTTCACAGGCGCTTCCCTGTTAACGTTGGCTTTTTGTATTTTTTTTCATCTTAGGGTTCAATGTCGGCAGGAGCGCTGGTGGCAGATCATCGGTGCGGGAGATTAACCGGGATGCCTGTCACTTCCCGGGCTTTCCCATTCTGCAGTCCCTTCTCCCGAAGCACACTAATGTACCTGCGCTCTATTTCCTTCTCATGGCCCTTTTCCTGCAGCAGCCAGTCACTGAGCTGCCGGAAAACCTGCAGGTCAGTGCACCTGTCGTCAGCAGCCAGTGTAATCGGGGTTGCCAGGTAGGGATTATCTAGTAGGATGTAAATGTAATTCTGTCTGTCATGAAAGAAAATAATGGATTAACCAGGCTCCCTCCTTCTCTGCAGCTGACTCACAGTCACGATGTGATGTTTTGTGCTGAGCTGTTTGGGGTGGGAGGACAAGGTACCATGGGAGTATGTGGAAATTAGCCTTTTATGGCATAGCTGTCGCTGGTGTCTTTCTGGTCTGTTTTGGAGTCAAATGAGAAGCAGATCCCTGCTTCAAGCTGGCATGGTGTGGACATTGAAGGGGGTGTAATTTCTTGCTGCTCTCTTTGATTTTTTTTTTTTTTTTTTAAAAGAGTGAGGAGTTGCTGCATTAAAGAATGTTCACAAGCTTACAGACAAAACAAGGTAGCTTTTATTTCAGAGTCTCTGTGGTTTTGTAGGAAGGCATCTCAGTTATTGCTGGAAAACGTTTATTGTTCTTATTCTGAACAGATTGATTTTTGGACTTGTTTTAATTGTATGTAAATGAGTAGCTATTATGGTCTACAATGGAGTCCTAGGAAGCCTTAGTGTAGTGCTTTATGGAGAAAAGCCACACTCCAGATAGGCAAGGTGCCTGTTCAGAATGGATGCAGTGCTAACATTTGTTTATCAGTGGGAACTAGGAAGTGAAAATTTCAGACTGGAAGGTGTTCTTCCTGTTTTTTTCAAGCATAATTCTTGTCACCACATTTAGCACTGTGCTACAGTGAAGTAGAGGCACGAAGTTCACCTGCTGCTTACAGCATTGGAGTGTGGCACTGTTAAATTGAAACTAAATTCAACTACTTGAAGTATTTAGCAGTAACACTTTTAATGCTAGAGGTTGGCACTTCATCCTTTTTTATTTTTTAATTGATTTACTTTTTTGGACTTACTGGAAATTGTAAATTTGTGTTGGTTGGGGTTTTTTTGTGGGATAGCATGTGGGTTTTACTGCTGAGTAAACAGGTGATTGTGCAGCATTTGTGCTGACACGTCTCTTGTTTCAAAACACTTAAATACTTTGAGTTGCAGTTACATTAGCCCGTGGTTAGAAGGAGTTTTCTTCAGTGACACATGACCTTCATATGAAGCTTTTGGGGGTAAAGTTTGGAGGATGTGAAACAGTTAGTTTTTTAGATACTGCCAAATGAGCATATTGTAGGTATAATAAAAAGCAGTATCAAGTTGCACAGGAGAAAGGGACTATTTCATGTCTTCTTTCTTCTCTTTCACCTTTACAGTTTGATTTGGACTCTATTTGGACATTCATATTTGGAGTTCCTGCCTCCTGTGGCACCATTACCTCTTCAATACACAGTGTTTGCACAGAAGCTGCCTTCTTGTTATTGGGAATGCTGAGAAGCATGCTGAATTCTGTAAGCATAAAAGACTTTGCTCGTATTTGAAAATACAGAATTGTTCAAGTTTGCCATGTGGTAAAAAGCCAAATTAGAAAAGTTGAGGTTTTGTTAGTGTCACAATAAACCCAGCTGTGAGTTAAGCTCATACTCGGATGAAAACCGACATTGTCATAATGTCAGTGGGTTATTCTATCTTACTTTATTTTTCAGTATCTGTAGAAATATTAGTGGCAACAAAATTTTTACAGAAATTCTCGGATTTGTGTTTTGCTGCAATTAAAACAAAACAAGAAAGCAGGAAGACAAAATGCCCTTGGCAGAGATCGTTGAATTTCTTTCCTGATTAACATCATGGGGGAATGTTTGAGACTCTCTATCCCATCTGCTCAGAGCTATGCGAGTTGCAGATTTCGTGCATGAGCCTTCCACACTCAGAGAAGTCCCCTGGCTATTAATAGACACATGCTGGAGGAAATTAATTTACTGCCAGAAAAATGTGTTGTCTTCTCATCTTTGAATCTAACATCAAGAGTGGTGAAAGTTGGTTTCTCAGTGTGAAAATTGTGTATTTCCTTGGAGCCAGAGTGTGTTATCTGCTGAAAATTATCTCATTAAATGTTTGAAAAGCATCTCCTGTTTGATCATTGTGTGTTTGCAATATGCTCTGAGAAGCATTGCTTGCATGTCTCCCATGTTAACATGTTCAGAAGCATCTTCTGGATGCGTGTACTGGTTATGTGTTCGTGACCTGCTGCAGTACATGTTCCTGTTGTGACATGCGCTGTCTCTTGCTAGTGACCTGTTCTGTCGTGTGTCTGGTCCTCACCTGTTTGGACACATTTGTGACGTGCTCAGAGACATATGCTGTCTCTTGCCTTGCTGTCTTGTGCTTTGTCATCAGGTGTATGTTCTGATGTGCTGTCACATTTTGGGTTGACATGAGACAGGTCATGTTTACCAACATGTTTTGAATCATTACATGTTAGGATACATGTTTTGTCTTGATGGTCAGTCACGTGTTGTAAATGTGGTCAGTCTCCTGTTTGTGATGTGCTCGAACACATGGTCAGGCATAGGTTACTGTCATCTGTTAGGCTGCCGTGTGTTCATGCTGTGGTTTTATCACATGTTCAGTCATATGTCTGGTTACATTTCATCGTGTGGTTGCAACTTGTTCCAGCCTGTTTTATCATCACATGTCCTGTTGTAATGTTGGTCACGTTCAGCTGTATGTTTCTAATGTGTTTATGTTATGGTGACATGTTGCTATGTGTTCAGTCACATGTTTCTGATAGCTTGGGCGCATGTTCTCTTATCACATGTTCTGTGGTCACCTGTTGCAGGCACATGATTTGGACATGTGGTTTATGTGTTTGTTAGAAGTTGGTGGTTTCTTCAGTTGTCACACATTCTGGAGGCAAGATTAGCCATGTGTTTGGTGACATGTTCGGTCAGGTGTTCATCATATATATGGTGACATGCTCAGACATATGTTCTGTCACATTGGGTCGGGATTGCCCCATGTTGGGATGTGCTTGAACACATTTTCTGTCACTTGTTTGATCAGATATTAGGTCACATGTTCAGACACTGTGTCTTCAGTTGTGTGTTCAAAACACATGTTTGGACATCTGTTCTGACAAGTGCTCCAACATGCATTTGACATGTTCTGCATGTGTTTTTCACACTTGGTCATGTGCTTGGCCGCATGTTCAGTAACTGCTGCTTTGCTTGAAAGAGTGCTTGTCCGCAAGGTTGGTCACATTGGCCCCATCTTTGATTATGTGTCACGATCACATGTTTCATTGCACATTTGACAATGTGTTTGAATATTTGACCCTTCAGCTTCTCTTCCTGCAGCTCCTTTCTGAAATGAGCGTTCTTCAATTAGTGCCATCTGTGCTAATGTGCTGTTCGTTTTTTCAACCCAGCCTTGGCAGTCGGAGGAAGAAGGCTCTTGGCTTCGAGAATATCCAGTCACCTTGATGCAGTTCTTTCGATATTTGTATCACAATGTGCCAGACCTCATTTCCTTGTGGATGAGTCCAGAGTTCCTGTGTGCACTGGCAGCAACAGTGTTTCCTTTCAACATACGACCTTACTCCGAGATGGTAGGAACTCCAACTCGTTAGCTGTTTTTGGTTTTCCCTGAAAGTAAATTTTTTGAGGATTTATCAATTAACAGTCATACAAAGATAAAGCTCTACTTAGCCTGCAGAAAGAGGTTATTGTAAAGGCTGGGCTGGACCTTTTGTACTTGGGATTTGGAATGGAGAGAAGTGCATGTTCAACTGAAGGGCAGTTGCTGTGCAGTGACCTCTGAAACTGCGTTTTAGGGGGAATGTACACAGTTTATTTCTAGTGGACCATTATTTTCAGTCATATGAATAATGTTAGCTGAGATTTACAAAAGCAAAAGAAACAGAGTTGGCCTATGCTTTCAGTGCCCTGCTCTGGACGATGTGATAAAATTTAAAACTTCTTTTTCCTCCTGCTTCCCATTTCTTCTTTTGTGGCTTAACCACAAAATGGTGTTCTTGTATTACCTGGAACTACTGAGTTCAAGCCAGGAGAGGGTGTGAATTCAACTTTACTTGCATTGCTGCCTGAAGTATTCTTTGAGCTTAGTGTCATTTACAGATTATACTGTTTCTAGAATAAGAATGGAAAGGAAACAGGGTTAGCCAAGTTCTAAAAGTAATTTTATGAAGAACGTGGAAGGATAGTTAGGCTACGGGTTGGCAGATGTTAGAACTAGGGAGGGTATGATAAAATACTTAAGGAAATACTGATGGCATGGTATCTTTTTGTTGTCAATAAAAGTGAGAGATCAATTTTTAAAGGTGCATGCTGATGAGTCTTTCATAAAGATAGTTTATTTTGCTTTTAAGTTAAACTTGGACTTGAAGTAGATGCTAGCAGCTCACTCTCAGGAAAAAAAGTGCCGAATATAAACTGGTAGTGCTGATTGGGCATTCATCTGTATAGAGTTTTTGGACGAGCCTTTTGTCTCTGAACAGGTCTTATTTTGACCACTAGGTCCCTTGAAACTTTGTGTAGCTGTCTGACAATTTGAGCTCTTCACTGTTTGGGGGCTCTCGTGACTCCAAATTGGTTTACTCCTCCAGCATGCCTCTGCCCGCATGTGTAGAACTAATCAATCCTTTGTGAAATAGATTAGTAACAGCCAGGTTCCCGAAACAAAACACTAGCACCCAAATTCAGCCTTGAGAGAAAATTCTTAAGCTTTCTTTCTGATCTTTCAGCCTCTCTGAGATTGCCATTAAAAGCAGAAGGAGTACACATTCAGGCTTCTCTTAATTTCTTAGGAAAACTCTCCTACTGAAGCAGACCAAATGTTTAAAACATTTAGTTACTTCACGTGTAAGCTGTGATGCAGTAAGCCTGTTGAGGGAAATCATAGTCTCCTCTTTCATTTGGAGAGGAGGGCGTTACATAAAAAGTCAGCCTTTTGGATTTGATTGCTTTCTTTTCTTTTTGAAAGCTTTTTATTTTGCTTTTGTTACAATCTTCTTTAAGAGCGAGCCCCTCAGATGTTCTGGTTCATCAGAAGCAAGAAAGCTGTAGAGACTTTTTTTTTTTTTTTAGAGATTTTGGGAAACTCTTGCCTGTAACTGCACTCTGATGAAGGTATCATATTAAAAAAAACAAAAGGCTCAGTTCCTTTTTTGTTTGCTGTCATGTAAGCTTGATAACCTTTCTTAGTTGGCTTCTATCTTGATTTTATTTTAACTGTTAATAACTTTTTCAAAACTCTTTTTTGCAATGAGAAAATTTATTTTTGCAAAGTATCTAGAAATTGCCCAAGTACTTCTTGTTGGTAAGTGAATGTGAAATATGATCTCTATCTCATGTAACTCATACCAGTCTTCACTAATTGTTGTCTGCCTTGGGAATCTTAAACTAGAATTTGGATGTTTCTCCTGTTGTATATTAAGGAACCGATCCTGAACATAATAACCTTTTTAAAAGGCTTCTTAAGAAGCAAAATGTGAAGTGAATAGCCTTGGAAAGACAAGTAAAGAATAGACTAGTGAAAAGACAGCAGTTAATTTGCTGATCTCTTAGAATTTTAACATGCTGTTTTTCACAGGTCACTGATCTTGATGATGAAGTTGGGTCCCCAGCTGAAGAATTTAAAGCCTTTGCAGCTGATTCTGGCATGAACAGGAGCCAATCAGAATACTGCAATGTTGGCACCAAGACATACCTAACCAACCATCCTGCCAAGAAGTTTGTGTTTGACTTCATGCGTGTGCTGATAATTGATAACTTATGTCTCACACCAGCCAGCAAACAGACTCCACTGGTGGATCTTCTGCTAGAGGTACACTTTCTTTGGATTTTTGGTTGGGTTTTTTTGTTGTGTGTTTTTTTTTTTATCATTTGAACTTCCTGTGACACTTTATCCCCTAAAATGTTTTCTTCTACTTAGCTTCCTAAGTTAGAGGAGTGATGACCTGGAATTCAGTAGAATCCTGTAAATTGTCATGAAATAAGGGCGGGGGGAGGGGGAGGAACATTCGTGTCTCATAAACAGTAGTTTGCTGACTTTTCTTTAACAGCTTGGAAAACTGTTGCTAAGAAAGCAAATGCAGAGGCATTACCTCAGCCTTCCTTTGAGGATATCATCTGGACTTCTCCCTGCGCCCCCCCCCAGCATTTGTGTATATTGGTGACTATCTCAGGTGCTTGAGCTGACAGTCTGCGTGCTGGTTACCTGGCTTTTTTCTCGCTGTGCTCTATTCTCCCCTCCACAGCCCTACTACTGCTTTTGCTTGTTGCTCTTTAGTTTTCATTTGGTCAGTCAAATGGCTCTGTTAGTTGCTGAGCACATCGTGTCAATGTTTTATTTCTATTTTGTCCTCTCTTTAGAGCAGCCATAATGTTGTTTTAACATCTTAGCCCATAACTCCTTTTGTCTGAAAACACAGATAGTGGATCACAGCACTAGATGTTCAATAGTGCAGCATGAGAAGTTGTAGCTTTCTTCATGTTTTATTTTTGTGGAGTATGATTCATTTGTTAAACACCTTTCAGACCATGACAGCTGTATTGGCTTTGTTGAAAATATAAAATCCCTGCAAATCCCTGCAGAAATATTAAGGTTTCTGTTTTATTCATACTAGATAAAAAGAACTGGCAGGACATATGCTATAAAAATTCACAAAATAACTGTGTTATCTTCCTGTAAATTATCTTCTAAAGTTTATGACACCTGCAGAAAGCATCCTTCTGTTAGTGGTGAGGGAGGGAATGAGGAGTTCAATTACTGTTTAACTTCTCACACCTTCTTGTATTTTAAAATGTTCAGTTCAGGTCAGTTTACATTCTCCCTTGACCTACCTATTTGGTACCTCACCTATGTGTTGCTGAGTCTCCCTGATGGTTTTTTTGGTAGCTGCAGGAATTTTGGACTGTGCTTTTATATTTCCTAACAAATTTCCTGGGGCAGTTAGGCATCTCTTTGCTGTCAAAAAGCAAAAAATGAATTGTCAAGAGATGCAGTTATACACAAACATCAGGAAGCATATTTGAGGCCATGTTCAATTGGTTGCAGTTGCTTTACTGCTTTTTTTAGTCTGTTATCGCTCGCTAGTGTTACTGGCCCCTTAGCAGAAACAGAGAATTGGGTATGTATGCAGTGTTAATCTGTTACAGGGCAAGACAAAGCAGGCTGACTTAATGTTTAATTGCTTTCTAGGACTGTTTAAGTGGATCATTCAGTTAGGTATGATTATGTACTGAACAGCACAAGGTAATAAAGTGGTTTTCCCCTTTAAGTGCAAAGGAAATTAGAGGGGTTTAGCACATCCATCTATTATGACTATACGAAGGCTGCTGTATTAATATGTAGAACCCCACAAAGAAGTGATGATCAACTTATGTGTTGGATCTGTCCCACTTACTCGGGTTATTTTACTGAAGGAGATGACTGTGTAAACTGAGGAGATCAGAGTTTAACCATATGTTTAGTTAGAGATTTGTGCACCTTTTCAGAATGTGTTCTTTTCCAGTTCCTATTATGGCAGAAGATAAATTTATTGGATTTAAATAGGAATAGTGCCTACTCTGTAAGACTGTACACTACTGTATACATGATGTACATTCTTGCCAAGACTTTTTATTCAAGACAGAATGTTAAGAGAAAAAAAGCCATAATCCATAAGAGCTGAGAAAAGATAAATTCACCTGGAACACCCTCCCCTTCCTTATTGCTCACTCAGAGATATTAATTATCTTAACCTTGTATTTCTTTTATCAGGCTTCCCCTGAAAGATCAACACGAACGCAGCAGAAGGAGTTTCAGACGTACGTTTTGGATGGAGTGATGGACCACTTACTTGCAGCTGATGTTTTATTGGGTAATATAGCAAAGTTTAATTATCAATCTGTTGATTTGAGCAAAAAGTTTTAACTGTTTTACTTTTTTCTTTATTAGTGTCCTGTTTTGTTACAACTTGATTGTCTTTTTTTTCTTTGCCCTTTCCCTTGATGTGTAAATGGTGTTACTGTGCATGCATGTTCCCTCACTATCTCGATTGTGCCAAAGCTGTAAAATAGGTTATTCAAAAAAAACTATACAGCATGAATCTTTTGGATATGTAAGCCAGACAAATTGCAATCACATCAAAAAGAACTCAAACTGGATCTTGCATCATCTCTCTTGTTCTTCTTGCGTTGGTAGAGGTTTTGGAGCTTTTGTCAATTTATCACAGTGGGACTTTGATTTTTAAAAGTTAGCTTTGTTTCCATTTCCTCCTACTGTGGTTTTATTATGAATGCAGCACCCCAGAAAAAAAACGCTGGCATTAGCACTCCATTGATCCAGTTAATAAATGGGCAGGAAGAGAATTAGAAGCTTGTCATTTGGATGTCAGTAGGGTAGGCTGTCCCACCAGAACATGGGTTTAGAAGATCGTGAAGTAGCCTATAGGAATATCGCTGCTCAGGTGCCCAGTCGGTGCCCACGGTGGCCTGATGGACTTTCCAGGACCTCTCGATCTGCTCCATCTCCATCCTAGATGTTATGGGGCAGCATGCATTTCTGTTCAAAAGTGCTTGTAAGGCTCCCCTTTCTTGCCACAGCAAGATTTGTCTTTCTCTGAATGCAGTGCATTAATAAAATAAATCCAGAATCATGTTACGTGAAACTTTGGGTCAGGTTCTCAGGAGAGTCTCCTGCCCGTACATGTGCAGCCCAGGAGCAGGAATTTTGTTTCCCCAGGTGTTCCTTCTTTGAGGTTTTGCCGGCTTCCTCCAGGTGCGATACTGTCAGTTGCTTCTGAGCAGATGAGGCAACAAGTGAATAAGTGTAGGTGAACTTCCAGCAAAATCAACACCACTGATGATTTTTAATTTTTTGATGGAAGCACTTGCACTTTTCAAGTTTCTCTTAATATAGCTAGACTGACAGTTACGTACACACAGACACATGCAGCTGATGCCAATTGACTCTCAGTTTTACTGAGCAAAGTACAGTGAGGGAGAAATGATGCTAGCTGGTATCTCTTGTCATCTCAAGGTGTTTAAAAAGGCTCTTTTCTTTTTGAGAAAGAAGAAGTATAATTTTAAAAAGCTACAGGTGGTTCTACACCCGTGCAGCTCCAGTTGAAAAGGAGGACCGTACATATATACGATGCATCAAGATCACAGGAGTACCGTTTCTTCTGGACACTTCCCACTCCAGCTTCCCCTCTTTTGGTTTTTGTCACTGTTCATTTCAAATGTTTGCTTACCATCAAAGAGCGATGTAGAGAAGCCATGAGGTTTTTTAGCTTTTTCTTTGGCTGCGTCTTTTTTATAGATGTCTAGAAAGCATAGACTAATGTGAATGTCTTTATGCAGATGTGGGTTTTTGATAAAAGAAGAAAACTTCGGGGTTTTTTGTTACCTAGGTGAAGATGCTTCTCTGCCTATAACGAGTGGAGGAAGCTACCAAGTGCTGGTGAACAATGTGTTTTATTTTACACAGCGTGTGGTAGATAAGCTTTGGCAGGGCATGTTCAACAAAGAATCCAAACTTCTTGTGGACTTCATAATCCAGCTCATTGCACAGGTAACAGTGTTCTTCTATTAGCCTGCTTGCAAAAACATTTCTGCAGGTTACTTTAAAATCCATGGAGTGATGTCACTAAGCAACCTGCTAGTGATGCATGTCAGGTCAGCATAGAAGTACATTTTTCTTCCCCAGGCTTTCTGTTTCTTTACTGAGCTTTCCTAGCACATCTTGTCAGTGTGGAGTGCTTTAATATGGGGCAATTGAGTAAAAACTGCCTTCAGATGACATTGTTTTTTAGAAATCCCCTAAAATAAACAACAAAATTTGCCTCACATGAATTTTGGGAAGCTTCCTCATGCACTTTTAGTGGAGATCGTTAGAAGACTTTTACTGTTAGAAGTCAGCATCATCTTCATAGATGTTAAAATTATAAGTATCATCGTATATTAATGTTATTTCAGTCCTTGAAATTAATGGAATTTGGTGCTTTTAGTAAAACACAGATTTTGAAAAATTAGCATGGGTCAATGCAGTGGAAGATTGTGTGCCAGTAAATTGATTTTGTGCCACTATCTGATCATGTTTTTTTTACTTCACGTCAGTCAAAAAGAAGATCTCAGGGACTATCGCTGGATGCTATTTATCACTGCCTGAACAGGACCATCTTGTACCAGTTCTCAAGAGCGCACAAAACTGTTCCTCAGCAAGTGGCTCTCCTTGATTCTCTAAGAGTCCTTACTGTGAACAGAAACTTAATTTTGGGACCTGGAAATCATGATCAGGAGTTCATCAGCTGCCTAGCTCACTGCTTGATTAATCTGCACATGGGAAGGTAAGTATCTGACAGAAGTTCATTCCAGAACCAGGGCTGTGAAGTATTACAATGACCTGTTGTTTCTCAGCAATGACGCTCAACCTTTGTGAATAGGTCAGCAAATTCTGGATAACTGTTTGTAACTTTCCAGCCAGTGAAATGCTAGCAAGCTTAAGTGGTTCGTTTTGAAACAAAGTTAGGTTTGAAGAGCCCAAGTATAGAAAACATTTTTGCCTCCTTTTGCAGAGGTACTTTAAAATACTGACACAAGTGTTTATCTAACAATTTCAATGTCATGCTCTGATAATCTGAAATGTTTTCAAGGTAGAAAGAAACACTGAGGCTAAGTAATTCATAGTCCAAGGGATCTGCACTAGATTTATTGTATGTTGAAACATTTCATACAATTTCTGTAGCTTAGTACTTGGATGTATAGCATTGAATAAGTCCAGTCAGGCGTTAAATCAGATGCCCATCACAAATGCTGCAAACACCCACTTTTCTGCATTGCTGCAACTGCCTGCCTGCGTTTTCATTTTTTCTTTCCAAAAAGATGTACAACTGGTGTTTCATCCAAAGACGCTTGAGAAGCAGCAGCAGCAGAAACCCTAATGTTCTTCATTTGTGGCCTTGTCGTTTGTGTTTCTTCAAATATTACCATCTTCCTCTAGTGACATCAGTGTCCGTGGCGTGCCATTTTTCATAAACCTTCAGTTCAGCTTGTGACTGCAGATTACCAGAAGTCAAGTGGACAGAAGTGAACATACATTGCTGTAGTAGAACATATTAATCTGTGTGATACTATCACAGGGAATCAAATGCTGTAGCTTGTTTGGTTTTTTCTTCTGGTTGTTGTTAATTCTCTGTGTATTTATAGCAACGTTGATGGGTTTGGATTGGAAGCAGAAGCCAGGATGACAACTTGGCACATTATGATCCCCTCTGATATAGAACCAGATGGAGTCTACAATCAAGATGTCAGCGAAGGTAATCTGAGAGTAACAAAGCCACAGATGTCTGCTAATGCCATTTCTGTATTGTCATCACTAATCTTTTATCCCAATTACTCTTCGGGCTGGAGAGGGGTGGTGTTGTATAAAAATATATAAAAAAATACATGAAAAAATACTTAGAAATACTGAGACAGAGATCTCCAGAGAAAGTTATTATTTTGTTAAAATAGCAAGAGCTCTTCATTGTTTTCTGGACACGCACCAGAATTAGAAATACTGCTTTATATGCGCTGTGTTGAATGCAATAGAAATGGCTCATTTTAAGTGTGCAACATGGTTTTGTATCATCTGGATCTTACACGAGCATAGGTAAGGAATAATTGGTATAAGCTGTAACATTATTATTCAGTGACATCCTCAGGGTCTTTCCTTCAAAGGAAATTTATGAACTAGTTGCAGAAGAAAGGATTCAGTGATTTATTTTTTTTCCTTCCGTGTATATTTAATATTTATGCACACAATCGTAAAAATATTAAAGTGTAATGTATGAAATTACGTATGTGTTTATAGACATATACTTCTATAATATTTTTTAACCTCATTTTGTTAATAGATGGATGTAGGAGAAGAATCTCAACTAATCAGAGCTGGTGTTTCAGATTCAGAGAAAAAAATTGCCAAAATTAACTGTTAGATACTTTCCGATAGCATATAAATGGCAAAAAATGACAGTGTGGCCAAAGGCATTTCACGAGTTGTGCAAGAGGGAAAGAAACTAGAGTATAATTGCAGAAATTATTCAGCTCACTACTGTAAAAATACCAATTCTATAAGCACTGTAGAGAGCTTGCTCTTTTTCATCTTGTACCTCTGCAGGTCGCCAGCTTCTTTTAAAAGCCATAAACAGAGTGTGGACAGAGCTGATCCATAGTAAAAAACAGGTTTTAGAAGAAGTTTTTAAAGTGACGCTACCTGTCAATGACCATGGCCAAGTGGATATAGCTGTTGCAAGACCTTTTATTGAGGAAGCAAGTTTAAAGTGTTGGCAAAATCATTTGGGTAAGTGTAACTGGGGATTTATCTGTCCTGAATGGTAGATTTCCCTGAAGTGAGCCATATGCACGGGATATTTTAATATGGGCTTAGCTTTTGTGTAGCGATAAGTACTCTAAACTGTCACCGTTTAACATCTCTCCTTCAGAAACGGTACCGTGTACAGGATATACTTGCACTCCACTGCAGACAGGGCATTTATTCAACACTGTCGGTGATCTGAACAATGTCCTGTGTTTGTGAGTCAGCATGCACCAAACGGCCTATTGTGGATTACTGTGACGGAGTCATTTACCTCCTTCTCATGGACAGTTGGATTGGGGTGACCTGTGTTACCATTCTCAGGATTGAATGTGCCAGGCAGGGAGGGAGACCCTTCTTGAGCATGTCTGGGTGAAGCCTGCTAACTCTCAGTCTGGTGATACGACTGGAATTATGTGACTGTGCAGTCCTCCTTTAGCAACAGTGATACTATGACTTCTCCTTCTTGGCTGGGAAATCTGGTCAGCATAGGAAGCAGCTTTGTAGGAAAAGGACCTGGGAATCCTGGTGGACAACAAGTTAAGCACAAATTAGCTCTGCGTCCATGTAAGAAAGAAGGCCAACTGTTGCTGGACTGAATTAGCGAGAGTTTAGACAGCAGATAATAAAATTCCATAGACGTGACTCGTTTGATTATTAGATGGCTCTAAAGAAATTGAGGTTAACCTGGATGTACAGAAAGCATTTTTGGAAACTTGGAATACTTGTTTTTGTGGTCTCTCTATTTCTGAGTAGAATGAAGGATCTTTGGAGAAATTATTGCTATAAGAAAGTAGTAGTGGTTTTAAAAAAAGAAAAAGAAAGCTCAGAGGTGGAGTGAATTAAAGAATCAGTGAAGAACATGAGCATGTAGTTTCTAAATCAAAGGTAGATAGATGACGTACAGTATGATCCATTAGCTGAATATCAGGAGAATGTTAAACTGTTGAGAGAGTTGAACTAAGCTGTGATTTTTATTTTTTTTTATAACTTCAGTTTTAAAGTAAGGACACAAGTCCTGTGGACTTGACTTTCAACTGGGATGGCTCTTATGTGCACAGAAGGGTGCAGTAAGCCCACCTAGCTTCTCAGCTCAATATAACGTATTTTGCTGTCAGATTGGTTAATGAGGTCATGTTTTAGCTCCTTTTTGGGTGGAGATACGGTGTTCAGCTGCATTTTTTTTCACTAGTATCTGCTGTTTATAACAAATTACATGAATTCTGTTATCTTTTTAACTGTTTTGAGAAAAAAAATATTTCCCCAGATGCTGTCTCCCTTGTTCTTTAAGGGCTATAAATCAGCAAAACTAAAGTCAGCAGGGGTAGAGGGAGGCTAGGTGATGATTTTGTTTATACACAGCTGGTTTTCACCTCTTCGGATGAGGACAGAATTCATAGCTCATGGACCCCAATAAAAGGAATTACAAATCTGTTTTGCAGAACCCCACCTAGGAAGTTCTCCCAACACTTTCTCTTTGTTTTTCAGCTCATGAGAAAAAATGCATCAGCAGAGGAGAGGCTTTGGTTCCAACCACACAGTCCAAACTTTCACGAGTTAGCAGTGGGTTTGGCCTCTCTAAACTAACTGGTTCCAGGAGAAACCGCAAGGAAAGTGGGCTCAATAAACACAACCTCTCTACACAGGTAATTTCTGTCAAGTAGTAACACACAGCCTAAAATCCAGCAACGTATGTTCAGGGTTTGTGGTAAATATCCTAACATAAGGAATCCGGCAGAGTGTGAAGTGATATCTGGTGCTTGATTTTCTTTCCCCTTTTTGAATATCCAAAGTGGGCATCTTGCTTTTGTGTGTCCTAACCTAGTAGGTGCGTCTGTGCATCTGTAACATTAAGCCAAGAGTTAAACTCTTCGTTGTTGGTGAAGCTGCTCAGCTGCTTCGGGTTACATATATGCCTTATTGCTTTGCTAGTCTGTGTCTTAAATTCATTTTGCAGTACTACTTTGAAATGGAAGCTGTGAGATAGATACTTGTCCTTTTTTCCATTATGTGGTTTAGGAAAATCCCCATGTTAATGTGTATGTATCGTGGCTAAACAAATGCAGCTTTGCACTGATTTATTGTGCTATAGAGAAGAGTTCAAAACACTATGTGATGGTAGAACTGGACATTCACTTTACAAGCCTGCTTCCTTAAAAAAAATATTTTTTTAAAAAAAGTTAGACCAGAGTAGCACAGCAGTAATGTTCTCAGTAGGATGGTACCTGGTGGGGCATTGCAGGGTGTTAGTACAAAGTATTTGAGGCATTGAAAACAAAGGAAAGAGAGGGGTTTGAAAGTTTTGGAGGAGTGAGTTCTTACTGCATTTAGCACTTCAAACACTGGGGGCGTGTTGGGTCAAGGGGGGCGGGTGTGTTCCTGCCACAAGGAAATTTATAGCTTCTGTTGACTTAATTAGGAGTTTGTGGTCTGTGGAAAAAAAACCCGTTGCCAGTTCTCTTTCTGATCCAAAAATTACTCAGTGGCTTTGATAAAAATAAAGAATTCTCAGTGCTCTCAGTCCTCTTCCTGATGAGCAGGCATACACGTTAAAATGAAGAGGAAGAAACTCGCAAACACCTGACAGGAACCGTTGCTGGCTGTGTCAGTAGAGGGAGCAATAAGTGAAAACAGGTATATTGTGGTACAGAGTGAGGCGTGCTGGGTGTCTTGAGAATTTCCAACAAACTAGGCAGCATCCACAAAATATTACTTAAAAGGAAATAGGGAAAAGTAGTAATACTTGTGCCAATCTTTAGCTGTTTAGGAATGTTCTGAACTGTTAGTCATGTGTTTGGAATATTTTCCAAATGTTTGCCAGTTTCTTCTAAAGGATATTCCTATACATGAATGTACTGCCTTTAAAAAAAAAAAAAGGAGGGGGGCGGGGGGAGAAAATACCAAACAAAACCTCAAATACTGTTGCATGCATTAGTTTGTAATTCATCTTCTAAGTTTGTTGTTGGAGTGGGTTTTTTGGTTTTTTTTCTAATAAACTGTCCTTTGTAAGCAACTTTAACAAGGAATGTATTCATAGGCTTTTCATTCAAACAAAATCTTTTATAAAGTGTCATTCTGTCTGTCCTCTTACTTTTATATTAGGAAATTTCCCAGTGGATGTTTACTCACATTGCAGTGGTTCGGGACCTGGTTGATATGCAGTATAAGGAATATCAGGAGGTATGGTTCAGAGGATTAATTACCTGACACTGATGTTTCGACCTGTTAGATTATGCCAGTCCCATTTCTTTCTCAGTGTGGGGCATGTAAAATATTAGGTTGTCATTGGTGAAATGCTTGAATGCTTACATACAGTTGGGGTTTTTAATGGTTTTTAAAATGCAGTCAGATAAACAAATGAGGAAACTCATTTTGATCAGTTCGTAGATGAAGCCTCTTGTACCAATATTACATGTCAAATCTTAATTTTCTTTGAGAAGCTTAAGTAGTCTCCCTAGAAGTAGGGGGGAGGAAAAGAAAGAGAAGTTGCAAATATTGTAGAATGTGCTGTTTTCCTAAAACATTGTACAAAATCTTCAGAGCAGAGGAGCATTGTGTACAAACATACTTTTATAGTAACACAAAGAAAATTGCGGTTTCTTCCAAACATCCCCAAAGACTTGTGGTGCAAACTAGTTGCTGAGCTGAATGCTATAAATCTTAAGAAATCAGCTTCCAAGAGAAACAAGTCAATGAAAGCAAAACAAGGAAAAAAAAGAACCAGCCACCAAACTTTGCTTCTTTTAACTTCTCTCTTTGGAGGCAGGGAAGGCCTCCAAAACAATTTTTGTTTTCATTCTTAAAATCCTTTTCAAAAATCAGTGGATTAGTGTTTCATTTCTTTCATATTTGCCATTTAGAAATACATTCAATGAACGATACAAACCAAAAGCAGAGCTTTTACCTTATTTTTTTTCTTTATTTGTTGAGAAGATTGCAGTATGAACCCTGCTTTTATTGTAACTGACACCTGAAATCTCATTAAGGTGTACTAGAAAATGCTGCTAGAATTATGAATTATTACACGCTTTTCTGTAATGTAGTGAAAATGTCTCTGCTCATATCGGAGACAGGCTTAAAAGCATCACTTCTGATGCATATACAAATGTCTTTGTATTCAGCGACAGCAGAATGCGTTAAAATACGTGACAGAAGAGTGGTCTCAAATTGAATACGAGTTACTACGAGAGCGAGGTTTGTGGGGTCCCCCCATTGGCTCCCATCTTGACAAGTGGATGTTGGAGATGACTGAGGGTCCCTGCAGAATGAGGAAAAAGATGGTGCGAAATGACATGTTTTATATTCAGTATCCCTACATGCCTGAGGCTGAGCAAGAAACAAACTTGCAGGTAAGTATTCAAGATTTCTGTGATGAGTAATTTGATGCCCTGTTGTAAAATATGTATTTTTTAATAAGTTTTTCTTAAGAAATGTATTTTACACTGCCTGTATTACCTGGTATTCTGTTTATATGTCTCTAAATGGTTGGTAAGGTACAGCTGTTCCTCATAGTGTATTTAGGGAAGGGACTGAATCACTTGGCTCAGGACTAAATGAACTCAAAGGCTAGCAGTTGCAACATAAGATGAGGTGTGCTTGAATCAGCTAAGCGATCATGCCAGTGAACAGCAGTGGCGTCTTCACAAGCCTCTAGAGGCTGAGAAGTACCATAGTGATGGGAGGTTTCAGTCTGAGTTCTCAGCCTTATGCTAGGTAACTGATAAACAGTGATCTGAAAAAAAAAAAGAAAAACCGAACAGGCTCCGGGCGTTGGTTTGGGTGCGTTTATGAAGTGTGCTTTCATCCGTCTGCGAATATGAACATGGGCTATGTAGCAGAAATGCACGTGGCCTTTGAGAGCCTGACAGTTAGTTCCTGTTAATTTTGGTACACGATTTTTAAGAAATGGAGCAGTCTTTATTGTGTTTTTAGGCATGCATGTATGCATGCATGATTTTTTTCCTCAAATTAAACTTGAGTGTCAAAGTACTTAAAACAAGCAAGAAAAAAATAAACATTCCAGCAGTTTTAAACCATTAGGTATATTTGTCTGCTTGTGATCTGACACGCAGTAGCTGTAGTGACAGTCTAATTCACATGAAGTGGAGAACATGCCATCATACATTCTTCTCAAAAGTGTTCTTTCTCTGATGCTTATATAATTGATGACCTGTTTCAGTCTGACTTCTCAAGTAGACTTCCCGAGACATCTGATGATACCATTCCTCAAAAGGTAAAGAAACAAGTACACTCACTGACAGAATGTAAAATAAATACAGCTTTTTTTCCTCCTGCATGTTAGGCAGTCTTAACAAGGCTTCTACGTTTGGCTTTCAACTTGCTCTTTCAGTAAATATTTCCAGGCCTAAAGGTTTTTTCAGTAATCACATTAGAAGATGTTGCTGTGCTCTCCTCAACCTTCACCTAATAAAACTTTCTGTAGATCTTACCTTCTTTGCTGCACACTAACAGGCTGTGTTGGGCTGTGCTATCACTGTTCTCACTGTGTGAAGTGTTGTGGCTTTGGGAACTGAACTAATGGTTGGTGGAACATGTTTAGTAATGGGCAACACAATCACTTGGAAGCACTTCCTGGGAAAGTGTTTCTTTCTAAGAGAGAATCCGGTGAGCAGTTTTTCTCCTTTTTGGCTGTAACGGGCTGTGACAGGCCTACTTTCGTTAGAGCCCAGATTAATTTTGTCTTAACTGACTCTTCTCATTTTTACTGTTAAGGAAATATACGCATTTGTTCAAAAAATATGAATCCCGCCTTGAAAATAACAGACTTATTTGGAAGTGGCTGCTCTGCAAGCGTTCCAGTATTACACTGCTTCTTTGTTAGTTACATCTGCAGTCTTGCCCATCACTAAGTATAATGTGTAATGTGCTTTCACTCATTTTGAATTGCGTTCAACAATAAACTAATACATATAAATGAAAATAATTCTATTAATCAGGATAGCTAATATAAATTGTTACTGTTTTCCTTTCTTCATGTTAGCAGTGTTAGTTAGGATTTCCCTTTGTAGGCTGTACATAAGTTATTTTCACAGAGGTTTTAAGCATTGTTTAATGTCGTTTTTGTGGTGATAAGGAGTGAAGACTTAGTTGAATATAAGTGAGTAAATTAGATAACAGTGCCTTAGATTTTTTTTTTTTATTTTGAGGGCAGCCAGTTTGACCTGAAATAATAAATCTCCATGTTGCTGGTCTTAATCAATTTGTTATCCTGAGCATCCGCTTGTAATAAAGCTAGTATAATTTTATGGGTCACTTAGTTTCCTACTATACTATCATACAGAAGAACCAAAAATGTTTAACAAATAAAAAATCAAATTTTGTGTATTTCCAGTTATTACTGCAAAAGTGGACAAGGGAATCTTGACTGAAATGACAGTGATATTCTACAGTTCTACATAATGTAAAATATTGAATTGGATTTATAATAATAATATTTTGTAATAATCCAAACCTAATTTTGACATTTGTGGGAAATAGTGCTACAAAACAAACAAATAAAATATTTGTGATGGAGAACTGAACACATTCACTAAGCTTTCTAGAGTTGGAGGGTGGGGTTAAACAGTAGTTAGAGAAGAAAATTTATAACTGCAATATAAAATCAGTGTGCATCAGTGTGTTTTAGTTTTGGAAAGGTTCTTGGCTTTTCAATACCGCTTTCATCTTCACCTGTATCTCCTGTGGTCATTCTGACATATTTATTGTCCTTATTTAGTGTCTACTTCTGTTTCAAATGCTACCTTCATAATCAAGTGATAGATACAAGAATTAGCTGTGATGTGGGATGGGACAGACAAGGGAAAAAAAGAAACCACAACCAAAAAAAGCCTCAACAAAACCAACCCAAAACAAAACAAAAACCCCAAAACTAAAGAAACACCACACCACCACCATGATGAAGTGTGTCATAATCCGTTGTCATCACCCAAAGGTACAAATTGTGCTTCAAGAATTGCTGTGGTTAAGTGGGTACCCTTGTGCTGGTTTCCTGCCCACAAACAGTCAGAATCTTTACTAAAAAGGAAACAACTGAATTAATGGAGAATTTCTGAGCCTTAAAGCCAGTCTGTCACTGCTTTTGGTTCATATCAACTTCAACATATCTGTATCTTTCCTTGAGGCAATTTTTTATTCAAGCTGTTGAGTAGCAAAGAAGTCAATTGCGTCACGAATAGGCTGCCTGTGTTGTAGGGAATTATGAAAGATGATAAAATGGCCATCTGATCTATCAGTCTTAAGCACAGGTATCCCAGCCTTTTGTGACAGTTCATAACATACTGGCCATACTTCTGATTTCCCACATTGTAGGTTTATCTGCAGGCATTTCTGCAACCCCATTATTACTTGAATGGCTGAATAGCTCCCTTCCAAATTAGCGGAGAGATTAGATCTACGGAAGAGCCTCTGTTTCTCTATATGTTGGTCTATGACTGGGCACACACAGAACATTTGACGGGCATGCACTGTGTGGCACACAGTGTTCCTGAAACGTTCACTGAAGTGAGTGTGGAGTTGACTGACCAAGCAATTTCTTCAATTATTTCTAAGAAACCTGCTCGTTACCGAAGAGCTATAAGTTATGACAGTAAGGAGTACTACATGCGCCTGGCTTCTGGAAACCCTGCGGTCTTTCAGGATGCTATAGAAGAGAACACAGTGGGTGAAACAACTCAACAGGAGCCAGAACACGGGGAGGACACTATTGCAAGAGTCAAAGGTTAGATCATTTGTTCTGTCCTGAACTGTTTTCTTTAAATTTATCTGCCTTTTTATCTTATCATGCATTTGCATTAAAATAAACATAAAGATTCTGTAGGACTCTTGTTTTTCTGTCTTAGCATTGGATCAGTAGTTCCACAGTTCAGTAGGTTCTGTGAAATGAATTTTTTGTGTCAGGTTTTTATTTATCTATCTCTATTCTTCTTTTCCAGGCCTGGTGAAGCCTCCCCTAAAACGGTCTCGCTCTGCACCTGATGGAGGAGATGATGAGAACCAGGATCAATCACAGGATCAAATTGTTGAGGGGAGTTCAATTGATGAAGAGGAGAAGACCGACAATACAACTTTGCTTCGACTTCTCGAAGAAGGAGAGAAGGTACTACATACTTCAGACACACTAAGCACTTACTCTGTTGGAGTTACTGCATTACATGTCGCAAGCATGAATAGATGTCCTTCCTTGAATAGATGTCCTTTCTTGATCTACAGCTGAATTTGCTTAATATTTTGGCAGCTTCTTCCTTTCAAGGAATGTGTGCTCTGGTTCAAAGAGATCCTGAGCTGAAAACCCTGTACTGGAAGCATTTTTTTCTTTTCTTCTGCCTGCTAGGGAGAAAAGAACCTGTCCTGAAATGAAAGCTACAATCTATCCCATGCTTGGGTTATTATCCTGTTGGCTTAATGAGTCCAGATGGAAAATAAGTTGAAAATACAAATACTGACCTTGGTGGACTGTCTATAATTAGTTGTTCCCTTCATTAGAATGAAAAACCTTGATAACTAGTATTTTATTCCCAAGAACAGGTTCTAAAATATGCTCAAGAAGCATGGTGCAAGTGAACAAGTTGGTGAATATATAAATCTGTATCATACAGAGGAGGCTTCATTTAACTCCCTTCCCAGTTGCTAATCGCAGGCCTTAGGTATATCTCTTATTAAGGGGGAAAATAGGAGAATTTTTGCTATATCTACAAGTGACACAGCAGCGTCTGGGGCTTGTTCTAACAAAGCAATGGTCTGAGCCTAAGCTTGTTAACTTGCTTTTGCCAAGTGTCTGCTTTTTGTTACAGATTCAGCATATGTACCGCTGTGCTCGGGTTCAGGGTCTTGACACCAGCGAAGGGCTGCTTCTCTTTGGGAAAGAGCACTTCTATGTCATTGACGGATTCACCATGACAGCCACCAGAGAAATACGGGATATTGAGACACTGCCTCCAAAGTGAGTAGATTAACAGTTTCCTCAGTTTTTAATAGCTGAACAAGAGGTATTTAATGACATTTTTGAGGATTTAACTCCAAAATAATGTCAGATTCAGAAAGACCTCAGAAGCAGTTTCCTCTGTGCTCACAAATTGCTCAGTGTAGTATGGTATATTCTGAAAATCAGCTGTTTCTATAACTGGACTCTCATATGAATTAAGAAGATAATTCTTTTAATTTATCTTCTTTTTAATCACTTCTCTCATGCCGGTTTATGCTCATTTGCAGGATGCATGAGCCAATCATACCTAGGGGAGCAAGGCAAGGTCCAAGTCAACTCAAAAGAACATGCAGCATTTTTGCATATGAAGATATCAAGGAAGTACACAAAAGGAGATATCTTTTGCAGGTAACTTGAACATTGTATTTGGATTGAGGAGCCAATCTTTCAATTTTTTTTACAATGTTGTCACTTTTAAACAGCAAAATAAATACATGACTAATCAGTATTTGGAAAGTGAAGCTATTCACTGTGTTGAAACTGAAGTGCTTAAGCTGGGCATCCTTGTTTGAATACCGTGGTTTACCATGGTTTAGTTTATTGGGTGTATTAGTGAAATAATAAAATAAAACATTTGGCCACACTAAGCAAAATCTGCTTCACCATAATTTGGTGTCAGATGTAGTACAGTATGACTAGAATGGTCTGTGCCTGACCTTCAGAGGTGGCAAGCAAATGTGTTAAGTGTTGACATGGGTTTGTCCTCTTTGTTTTCAGCCAATTGCGATTGAAGTTTTCTCAGGAGATGGACGGAACTATCTTCTAGCTTTCCAAAAAGGGATTAGAAACAAAGTTTATCAAAGGTATTGTAAAATAAGTTAAACGTTTAATCTGAATATTTGCAAATATCTGTGTTGAGCCATATTTGAGCCTACAGTGACCTAACAACCAGAAGCAGATTGCAAGAGTGATGGGTGTTAGGTAGTGGATAACCTGATAGCGACTTAGTGCTGCACAAAAGAACCACTAGGAAGCACTAATGCCGGCAGGCGAAACTTGTGGTATGTGTTTGGTGAGAAAAGGTCATGCTCGTTTTGTTGAAGGTGTTACGTAGCTGCTCAAAATGAAGTCTGTAACTGTACTAACTGCACTCTGTTTCTAAGGAGAAGGCATACTGAGGACAGAACACTAATGTTAATCTCCTTTTAACTGCTGATGCAGGTTTTTGGCTGTGGTGCCATCTCTAACTGACAGTTCGGAGTCAGTGTCTGGGCAAAGACCAAACACCAGCGTAGAGCAAGGGTAGGTGACTCTGTTCCTAACAAGCTCTGTAGCTCATCAGTTTCAAATTAATGATGCTTGCATTAAGGTCAGAATTCACTGGATTAGTATGGCAACTCAGTTTAAAATTGGGCATTAGCAAAATAAATAACTAGTGATGTTGTGCTCCAGTTATTTTAAATGTACTAATATCGTTGGCAGCATTGGAATATCCTCTTACTAATTATGCTATCAGGATTAACGTCGTCAGTATACAGGTGCGTTCTGAAAAGAAACAGTGTCAAAGCCATTAGATTTGTCCAAGTTTTTAAAGATACTTTCCTTATCGGCAGCCTGTTGGATACATCTGTACTTGCACTGAATTGCATAATTAATGTGCATAATTTTAACAGTATGTGTTTAGAAGTTAAAAAAGGCACTGCTAAAGCAAAAAGGAACAAAGCCCTGTTTTTCTAATTGTTACAATTTAGAAGTTTTAATCTCAAAACTTTGGATTGTCTTGTGAAGATGTAACCCAGATCTTGTGCCAAGTCAGAAAATGTACTTCCTTCTTCCCATTAGGTCTGGCTTGCTTAGCACTTTAGTGGGAGAAAAATCTGTTACTCAAAGATGGGAAGTAAGTATGAAAATCTCTGGGTTTTTTTGTATTAAATTCCACATTTTGTAGTGATGCGTAATTAGTGCATCCTCGTATTTGAATAGGTGGAATATGCTACTATAGAAAGTGTATCTCAGCATTTTATTTTGTAGTATTTAGTGATATCATCAAATAGGAAATGGTTCTACCATTGAAAATGCAAGGGGAGCAACTCTAGTAAAAGCAGAGTGAGCATTGTAATATTGAAGTAAGTTTTGTATGTTTGGGGAGAGCTGAACACTTTGATAGTCTGGCAGCGTAGACGTTTGATTGTTGTAAAGTGAACACTTCACAGTGCTGTTATCTGTCTTCCTTAAGAGAGGAGAAATCAGTAACTTCCAGTACCTGATGCACTTAAACACTCTGGCGGGCAGATCCTATAATGATCTCATGCAGTACCCTGTCTTTCCCTGGATCCTCGCAGACTATGATTCAGAGGTAAGTACAATATCTTGGTAGCCTTGTCAGTCATGTTTTATATGTTGGAGGTTTTGCAAATATTACAGCTGACTGATAGTGCTTTGGTAAAACTGAGGCTTGCCTTCATCGCCAGTTGTTTGATTTCATCTTTTTTGTAATGTTCCTCCCACTTACCAGTGGGTAGGATGTTAGAGGTTCTGGTGGTCCCATGCGGACAGGTCCTTGTCTGCACTGGTTTTACGGATGTTATTGGGCTGTGCACAGGTGAGAGCCAGGATACGTAGCTTGTTCTGAGGCAGTTACCTCTATGTTGCAGCAGTTCCTGTAGGTCTTTGCATTAGCTTGCTACTGAATATCCTGAAGGACATTATGCCACAGAGAAAGCATGCTTGTCCAGAAGACTGTGGTAGGGGCTACTATGAAATCTGGCCCCACAGTGAAGAATTTGCTTTTGAAAAAGATGAAATATCCTATTGATACTATTGTGAGCAGCTGTTATTACCAGCCAGACCATAACATAAAATATCGTTAGGGTGCATGTTGAGTATTCAAGAATGGAATTGGGGGACAGGATGAGGGGAGCAGGGCAAAAATTATCCGGAGCCCAGATATGACTTAAAATAAAAACCACTGACTCTCTTAGATCAGACTGAAGGACTGTTTTAAGCATATCCAACATTGCACCTCCTGTGTGTGTAGAAAACAAAGATGACAGCCTTAGGGGGTGTGTGGTGTTAAATATGGTAGTTGGCAGTGTTGAATGGGGTTTTGTTTGGCGATTAGGTTTTTTTATAAAATTGGTGTCTGTTTTGTTGTTAAAGGAACTGGATCTTACGAATCCCAAGACATTCAGAAACCTGGCCAAGCCCATGGGAGCTCAAACAGAAGACAGGTTAGCCCAGTACAAGAAGCGATACAAAGATTGGGAAGATCCCAATGGTAAGTAATGATATATCCTGCAGGAAGAGCAAAGGGACATGTGCCTGTCACATCATGGGAGGGAGTTGTGGATTTTTATGTTATGGGTCAAGAGGTCTGGATGTGGATATGCAGAACTTTACTGTGGTTTTTAGTGACTCTCCAACAAATACTAAATTAGAGCAAAGGGCCGTTGGTTTTTCTTGCTGTGTTGTTTTAAATCTGAATGACAGCTTTTGTTTATATGTAGAAATAAAGACAAAACAGTTGCACATTCAGAATAGTTTAACATTGTCTAAAGGCTAGAATGGGCAAGCACATGAAGCACACAACCAGCTGTCTCTACTAATACAGTTTGAGTGCTGCTGCAAGAAAATAAGTTGTGCAAGGGAATGGGAATATTTCTGCATTAGCAGTACTCCAGCTTTTTAATTTCTTACCTTAATGCTTGTTTTTTTGCTAAGGAAACAGCATTTTCTTGGTTAAAAACCCTCTCAAAATAAGATGCAATTAAGTTATATATTCTTGATTTTAGAGCTTTCTTATATATTGAAAATAGAATTTGTGTGTTTGGCGAAGTAGCTATTATGTGATACGTTTCTTGTGTGCTTTTATTGAAGACACAAGGTTGTTTAACTACTGCAGTCCTGTTCTGCATCAAACAACAGCAGGTGGCAAAGATGTTCATTTCTAGAAATGAATCAGTATGTTCTAAGTGTGTTTATGCAGACTTTTTGCCAGGAAATTAAGAAAGTAAAAGCTGTACAAAATCTGTAGTCAACAATTCTGAGACTTATTTCTGCCCAAGCCTTTAATTCCACAGTAACCACTAAGACTAAATATAATAGTAAAAAAAAATGTTTCTTCAGCAGAAATCGCCATAGCTGCGCTGCAACATTTCAATTAGTTAAAATAAAAAATTACTAACATTCAGTATTGCTCTACAGAAGCCCATTGGATTTGGGCTACTGGACTGCAGCCAGAACTCAAGTGGTGGCTGTGACAAAACAAAGCTTTCAGATTCCTGAGAACAAAAATTGCAACTTCCAATTTTAAATGTGTCCAAAGTCACAGAATAATTAAAATGCAGCACTAATTGATTTTTTTTTTCCTATGTTTATGACTTTTAATCTTCTGCAGGGGAAACCCCAGCTTATCACTATGGGACCCACTATTCATCGGCCATGATTGTGGCTTCGTACCTTGTCCGGATGGAGCCTTTTACTCAGATTTTCTTACGGTTACAGGTAAAAATTACAGCCCCTCACTTTGTGTTTCTTTCCTGCTCTACATTTGAGACCTAAGTGAAAAAGACGATCAATTGGCTTTGTTTTCATCAAATATGGTAGGAGAAATATTTTTAGCAGAATTACTGCCTGGGAGGTTTTTGATGTTTCTTTGTAAAAGATGTAATATAATTCACACTTTTATTCTTGTAGTTTGAACATTTTTCTAAATGTATGCGGAACAAAATATCATCAGACAAAAACAAAAGCAGGTTTTATTGTAAAAAGTACTTTGCTCGTTTTGCTTTATTTGTCTATTGTTGAAAGAATCGTGTGCCAATTGTTTAGTTCTGTGCTGGAGGTGTTGAAAGATTGTTATTTTAAACCTATATGGCCATCCAAAGAGCCATTTTAATACTGAGAGTTAAAATAAACAAACGTTTGCAGAGCCTGGAATTGTTTTTCAGTTTGATGGGTTTGTAAGATTACATGTCCAATATTTTCCTAGACAAGAAGCCATTAGGCAAAAAGACTTGTGTTTCTGTGGAAGAGACTAAACTTTGACACAAGACTATATCTGTATCTTGGTGCTTTATGTTTACTATTATTGTGTATCAAAAAGTAATGCAGCTGTTTAAATCTGTTGTGTTGGAGGAAGAAACATGCTACATTCTATAGTGTCTTTATTAGGCAGGGGATGTTCTGGTTTGCTGCCTTGGCAAAATCTGCTGTGCTGAGAGATACTCTGATGCTGACATGCTTCTCGCTCTGTCCCACAGGGCGGTCACTTTGACCTGGCTGACCGAATGTTTCACAGCGTACGGGAGGCTTGGTATTCAGCATCGAAGCACAACATGGCAGACGTGAAGGAGCTCATCCCAGAGTTCTTCTACCTCCCTGAATTCCTGCTCAATTCCAACAATTTTGACTTAGGTAGGCAGAAGGGTCTTGATAGCATTGCTACGGGTGTGAGAGCAGTGCCAGATAGTCGGCCGTGAGAAAAGTGTCTCATAATATGGGCAGAAAAAGATCTGTGTAACTGCATGAGAGAATGGTAGAAGACTTGCACATTCTGACATGAAAGCATAAGCAGGACTACCTCTGATATTTCCTGATACTACATGTTTATTCAATATTGTATTTGAAATTCTGAACGATTCAGAACTCATTGTTTCATTGGGAAGAATGTAGCAGGAATTCCTAGTTCCTCTGTGATACCTCAGGTTTATTTTTTCAGATTTATCAAACTTAAGATATTTTCTCAGTGAGTATTAATTTTAAACAGTTAATGCAAAGGTTTTTTTGAGAATTGCTGAATAAGATGCTGAAATACCCAAAAGGAATTTTTGTTTGGAGTGGCGTGTTTAAGTTGTTTTTTGGGTTTTTTTGTTTACCAGTTCAAAACGCACTCATAATCTATGTTTTCCTTGGAGTTTCTCTGGTTTGCTTTTTTCTCTGTGTAACTTGCTACTCCATGATGGTGTTCACCATCTTTTTTGCATATTTCTTTGAGCTTTGCAAAATCTGTTTGACAGTCTTCACTTTTAGGACTTCCTCTTAAAGTATTCCTGAAGGTTTTGTTGAAATGTTGCAGTTAGCTTTCGTGAGAGTGATTATTCAACAGGAGTCAAATTTCATACCTATTGGCTGTAGGAGCTATATGTTCCTTAGTATGTATGTCACTCTAACTGTGGCATTAAGTTCTTGTTTTCTGAGCTCTGTGCTGTGAATCTAATAGCAATAGTAGAGATTAATCAAGTCATAGGTTTTAACAGCCTCAAATCCTTTATTCAGAATGTATTGTAAGAGATTGGAAGAACACCCCACAAAAACCTCTCTCAAGTATATTTCACACAGAAGGGTATGGCCATTACCAGAAAAATGCTGAGGTCTTGTTCACTTTGCTCTGTATTGAGTAATTTTGGACTGTGACCATCAGAATCCTAGAAATTCTTCATTGAGCATTTGGAACAACAGTAGAAGAGGTTTGGTTATGAACAGCTGTGAGACACTGTGTGATACTTTTGATTGTGTTAATTTGGAGCAATGCCCCTCCCCTTCCCCCCAGATAAAATGAGAGGAAGATTCAAAGTCTGGTGATGCAAGCAATGTACTTAGTACTTGTGTACCCCTGTAAACTTGGAAATATGTTGGTGTTCCTCTGACCTAATAGGAAGTGTTGAATTGTCTCTTGGCAACAAGTGACAAAACAAGAATATAACTGGGAAGTCTTAACAAACATATTTTTAATAATTGCATCGTGCCACCATTTAATGTTCAGAGTGGGGAGGGGGCTGTCCAGGACCCAGATGAAGGTATGGTTCCCCATGCCCCAGGGGGAATCACCAATGTACTTGAGTGTGAAGTTTGTGGGGGATACCAATTGGCTCTTCAGAATTATGAAATTAATATTTGGCCTATACTCCTGTGATGTGTAGCCTTTCTCATGGATAAAACAATAACTTAATACAAAACGTTTGTATTGTGAAGAAGATAAATCCTGGGATGAAATACTGTTCCACCAAGGCTTCTCAGTAGAGAAATGGGTCTTTCCCATTGATAGGGAGAGAAAAGCAGAAATTTACTTAACTAGAAAAATAAAGACAAAATAATCATGTTCCAAGAGCACTTGATGAGCAAACATAAAGGTTTTGAGTTCAGACTGTACATTATGAAATTGTGAAGACTGAGGAGGAGTAATCTAATCAAATGCCTCTAGCTAGAACGGCAATGTTTGTTTTGAATAGCGTATGCTGAAACACTATCATCATCTTCAAAAGTCTTAGCAAGGAATATTTGAATTCTTCCTCCTGCGAGCAATCTTACGTGAACAACTGAGGCAGAATTTTTAATGTTTTATTGCCTGACATTTAAAAACAACACAGCATTTTAAAGAAAAGACTGAAATTACTTGCTTTATAAAGGAAAGGTGTTAGAATTTGATTTATTTAATATCATTTTTTTTCACTGTTGCAGTGCAGTTTCTGTGCTTCTTTCCAAATTTTTTTTTCTTTTTTTCTATAATAGGTTGCAAACAAAATGGCACTAAACTTGGTGATGTAATACTCCCCCCATGGGCAAAAGGAGATCCTCGTGAATTTATCAGAGTTCATCGGGAGGTAATCTGCATTTTAATAATGACAATAGAAAACGTCAGTTGGGGCTTTCCGCTGCATATCAATCTAAGCTTGATTCGTGCAGTTACAGCTGCTAGCCAGCCCGTGAGTTCTGGGTTGATGGGTAACTGTGGCAAAGGCCTGTAGAACTGGTGTTTCCTCCCCTTCCTTTTTGACTAGGGAGTACGTTGAGGCAAGACTTGCTTCAGTGAAAAGCTTTATCAAAATGTAACAAGAATATGTCAAAATATATTCTGCGGTTTTGTTTGTGGCAGGTGTCGTAGACTCAAGCGATGACCAATACGGCTAGTTTTAATGCATGCCCTTTGAATTTCAGGCTCTGGAATGTGACTTTGTGAGTGCACATCTGCATGAGTGGATTGACTTGATCTTTGGCTATAAACAGCAAGGTCCTGCTGCAGTAGAAGCTGTAAATGTCTTTCACCATCTCTTCTATGAGGGGCAAGTGGACATATATAACATCAATGATCCATTGAAAGAGACAGCTACCATAGGATTCATTAATAATTTTGGACAGATACCAAAGCAGGTACACCCTTTGTAGAATTCTTATTTGCCAGATGGCACTCAAATTCATATGTATTAATATTGAACAGGAAAGAAGGAGTAAAACTTCCTGGAAGTGTTTTTCCATAAATATTCTTCCAGTGATGTGAAATCACTTACGTTTCCGTCATAAATGCAGCAAAGATCAACTTTGGGCTTTGCTTGTGAGATTAGAAATGTCTTCCCCACCCCACTTTGCACCCTTAAAACAAAGGCCCAATGAATTATGGTTCAACTCTAAAAATTGGCATCAAAAACAACAAAAAAAAAAGTATGTTCCTTCTGCAAAGTCAGAGGGGAGCAGTGAGAATGCAACTTCCAAGAAATGCTTAATGTTTAGGTATTTTAAGATACTCTGTAATAGAATAATTTCTGTAATAACTTATGCTTCCTTTTTTTTTAAACCACCAGTCTCTCGGTGTTCTGCAAGGCTCGGCCATGTCTTTCGTTTGAAGAATCTGTTGGGAAAAAACCCTCAAGATTTAAATTAAGATTGACTCTCGTAGAACAGCTATAGTTAAGGAGCTATATAGACATATTTTTGGTGTAGCTTTAAAGTTTATGTTCTCTTTAAGAGAGTACGTTAAATTATTAAATGTAATATTAAATCTAAAGTTTTACTTTGGGGGATTTTTAGGTTTTGGGAGGGGTTAAGTATTTCTTTGTTTCTCTCTTTTTTTTTTTTTTTATTTTTAAATTAGGCATTTCTTTAGGGTTTTTCGCTGTCCAGTGAAACTTAAGTGTCATTGGTGAATTTTTCCAATCCTAGATCTGGTGGAAACCACAGATACCTTCAGCAGTTCACTGGGAACCAAACCCATGTGTTGGGAACTCTAGACTACAGCAGCACATAACATTTCAGGACAGCCACAGCGTGTTTCCTGTGGGGACCCACTAGCAGCTGTCTGTCTCTCATTGCTTGGAAGGAAGGCTAAGAACTGCTCATATGTCCTCTGTGGTTGCTTTTCTCCTTTTCCTTCCTTGCACTCTTTCGACCTAGATATGTAGTGGCTGTGGGGTTTTCTCCTCTTAAGTAGTACATCAGTCACTGGGTCGTGATGATAATCAGACATGGCCCAGCCAAAGCCGGATGAACAGCTGAAAACTGGGGCTGAGAGCAGGGCAATGGGAGAGCATTGAGCTGAGTCCAAAGGGCTGCCTGAATCTTCAAATGCCTGTTAGGTACAAACTTATGATGAGATTTTCTACCAGAAATTGCATGACACTTTGCTAGAGGAAATAGGCAGACTGCAATAAACTCTGGAAACTCAAAACTCCTTCCTTAAGTCATTTCTGGTGGCAGGTGCTCTTGGACCACATTTTTATGTAACTGTAGAGTTTTGCTGTGACCCTCTGTGACTTTCCACAGGGGATCTAGAGCAAGCTATCTCAGTGACATGGCTGCTGTGCACTTTTTCACTCCTTTGCTGCATAGAGATGTAACATGAGGGCTACATCTTCTTTATCCTATCTCTTCCACCAGTAAAGTCTGTGGTAGTTCTGTTTTGCATTTTAAAAAGTTGTGCTGCAAAACATTCCAGAGCTGGTGCTGCATTTGCAAGAAGTTTCTCTCGGACTCCGCAAGGGTCCCGAGATGCCACAGCCTTGAGGGGCAGAGCAGAATGAGTATGCAAGAGGAATGGTTGCTCAAAGGAGACCAGTTTCTTGCCGGAACTGGTATTTTTTGAGATCCGTTGTCCACATGAAGACTATATAAGCTACCTTCTCTCTCCGTCTTCTCATAGTCCAGCCAGAGGGGAGGCATGCTGTAGTTCAGGGAGAGCTATGGCACATAGCCCTGTTGTTAGCCTTTGTACCTAGAACGTAGGTCCAAGCAGTAGGCACGTGTGCATGCTCATAGCTCAGCTACTTCAGGCTTATGCATGTTCCCTCTGCTTTGGATAGGTGAACAGGTAATGCGTCTCGAAGGGCTGTGAGGAAAATAACTTCCAGCCTTGGAATTTCAGTGCTGTAATAGCCTCTCTGTGAAAGTGTAATCGAAATTAACAAAATATCACTCAATGTTTATATTTGTCAGTTACATATTACAACATATAGCATCTACCATCCAAGATGTTTATTATGAATTTATCACATGATAAACCTTAGTGTATGTCATTGATGATCACAGCTTATTAGAAGCGATGATTAGCTTGTTTTACGCTGTCTGAGATACCAGGAATGATCACTGAAGCAGTAAAATGGAAATTCAGTCACTCATAATGAAAAGCTAGGTAGAAGATAGTCAGGTTGTGTTTCTGGTGTGTGATCGGCATATGTGGTCCAATTACATGCCCAGCCATGCTCTCACTCTGTTCTTTGGTAGCCTGGCTGCCCCCAAGAGCTGAGCTGCTGTTTGTGGGACAGCATTTGTTTCAAAGCCAAAAATTAGCTTTCAGTTTGTCCTAGGATAGAATTTAAAACCGCGTTATGCACAACTTTGGGATTTTTACTTGCTTTACTTCAACTGCTTTTGCAACTGGAGGTAGCTTTAAAAATACTTTGCTCATAATATCCTTGTTGGATTTCGTATTATTCATTGAAGTCTTATTTAAATGGTTGCCATAAATTAATAGTGAATACTGAGAACAGTTAAGTAACATTTGGTGACCTGCAGAGTTTTTAGAAGGTAAATCAGACATACTGATGATCTTGTTAAGCTTATGCTCATGTAAACCTGTGATTTTTATTTTTTTTTTTTAATGATAATTAATTCCATGGTGAATTTCAGCTCTTTAAAAAACCACACCCACCGAAGCGTGTTAGAAGCCGACTGAATGGAGAGGCTGTGGGAATCTCTGTGCCCCCTGGTTCCACAAGTGACAAGATTTTTTTCCATCATTTGGACAACCTGCGGCCATCACTTGCCCCAGTAAAAGGTAAACTGTAAAACCACGGTAATTATTCCTATTTCTTTGCCAGAGCATTTAGAGTTTCAGCAAGATAGTCCTTTTCCACGTTTCGCTTAGTTCTAGTGTTCTTAGTGCCTGTGCTTTTGTGAGAAAGACAAATTTAAGATATCCTAATGCTGTAAGATTATGTTCTTAGCTACCTTAAAGTGCACTTGGGAAGCAGCAAATCTGTGCTGGTTTAATATAACTTTTTTTAAATAGAGGGATAAAACTGGGGCCAAGCACCTCTTTTAAAGTTTTAATTTGACAAACAATATTCGGGGTACATTGCTTCTGGGCCTGCAATAGCCTCGATTTTTGTGATTTTCATAGCAGAAGGGTTATTTGTCACAGTGGCAAGAAATACTGAGAAATATTAGCAGGAAAGGGTGGTGTTGGTAGCTACACTGAGACAAAGAAACATGAGGTTTGACTTCATATCTGTCATTGGACCGAACAAAAGTTAATTGTCTGTGAGACAGGTAAATGCTATTTCTTAGTTGTTTATAAATGAATCTGTGCCTGCCTGCTGTAAAGCAAGAAGAAAGCACCGTTACGCGGGACATAGCAGGGCTACACTCTAAGACAGGAAATTAGAAAGCTCTAATTGTATTTGCAAAGCTTGGCAAAGAACAGGTAGGACACCACAGGCTGTGGTCAGGAATGTAGCCTGTGGGAACACTTGGCCAAGATGTTGATAACAAAAACTTATTTTTACTTGTGCCGAAACCAGTGCGATCACTTCGAATGACCGCAAACAGCTTGTCTAAACGACACCTTGTGCAGCATCACAGGTGGGATCAGGGGTCTCTCTGATCCTGGGGGCGTTCTGGCCCTGCCTTCGTTAGGAATGTACGAATTTCCCACTGTTCCAGTTGAAACAAAGATTTGTGTAGCGCAGCCAGTACAGACATCCTGCTTTTGGGGAGCATCAGGTATCCAACAGGATGAGATAGTATTTGTCTGTGCTAGCAATAAGACATAACCCCATCTTCTTTTTTAGAGCTCAAGGAGCCTGTGGGACAGATCGTGTGTACCGATAAAGGCATTCTGGCAGTAGAACAGAATAAGGTTCTCATCCCACCTACATGGAATAAAACTTTTGCTTGGGGCTATGCAGACCTCAGCTGCAGACTGGGTACTTATGAGTCGGACAAGGTTTGTAATCTGAAATTTATTTCAGTGCTGAATGTACCAAAAGCAGTTACTACTCAGGAGTGAAAAAATATAACAATGGAAATTTATTTCACGTGTGAAAGAAATAATCTTGTACTGCGTATGTTTTATTGCTCCCTATCTGGTGGTCTTCAACAGAACGCTGGCAGAATGACATAAACCAATTAATAATAATTTTTTACCAGGTCTGCAAAACGTGAATGAATTAAGTCTATGCAGTTAAAGCTCATCTCTTGTGTGCTGTTGGGAGGCATCTTATGGCAGAGGTTGGAATTGCTTCTGTTTGATGAAAAACTGCATCAGGGGTAGCAGTGCTATCTTAGCTACTTAATGGTGCAGCATGCAGGGTGGCACTCAGGTTTTTATTTTTATCCTACCAAACACTAATCCTGCAAGTAATTCTTCTTTGTTTCTGTATTTTTAGGCAGTAATTGTTTATGAATGTTTGTCAGAATGGGGTCAGATACTGTGTGCCATTTGCCCCAACCCCAAACTAGTTATCACTGGAGGAACAAGCACAGCAGTGTGTGTGTGGGAAATGGGCATCTCCAAAGAAAAAGCTAAAGCCCTCACACTGAAACAGGTAAAATACAAGAATGGTGCCTTTTACATAAATTATGTTACACAACTGGAGGAATTATGAAAGGAATATTGTTCACATCATAAGCTTTGAAACCATGAGTCCAGCAGGCCTTTGGAGAACTGAGTAGTCGAGGTACTGATCTGCATTGAAAGTGGGCAAAATGTATCTTTAAAATTGCATCATTTTTAAGGATAGTTGATCACCAGTGGCTTTTTGGAGAGGTGGGGGATTTGGTAGTGATGTTAAAATTATACAGATGTGTTTTGTGAAATCTGCTTTACTGTAGTGTTGTATGTAAAATAGTTCCATCTGAGAACTGTGTCAGGGAGGGCAGTGAAGGAGACTGTCTTAAAGGTTCATTTCCCTTTTTAATTTTTTTTTTAATTACTTTTTTCTTTAAAAATGTATATATTGAAATTACACTTGTGCACAAAACTTTGCTCTTTCTGGTAGTGGTGTTTGTGGAGCAGAGTATACTTGTTCAGGATTGCCTTAAGTTGTTCTTCCTTTAATTCAAAGCATCAACTTTTAATCTAACAAATGAGCACCCCTGCTTTAAAGTCAGTTGCAGCTAAGTGCGGAGTAAGTCCTGTGTGTTTGCTAAAAAAAAAAAAAGGCTAAAACTCAAAACCACCCCCCCCCCCAAAAAAAAAACCAACCACAACAAAAACGCAAAACCCACCCACAAACAAAACCGTCCCCCCACTCTACCCCAAAATGTTCTAGAAGCTGTGTGTCGTTGTTAGAGGTAGCTAGGTTGTTAAGTGTTACTGTTGGGTTAGCATCTTAATAGCAGGACTTTTTCTGGAGGAAAGATTCCACCCAAACTTAAGAGAAGGAATTTAGAGAATTATTTAATAACTTCCCTTGCACGATCTCCAAAGCTGTGTTTCCAAAGTGTTTTGCTTAAGAACAGTGCAAGACAAAACACTATATCTTGAATTTCAGGGCAGCATATTGAAGGCCAATTACTGTACTTTAGCCAATGATTTTTAACTGAGTAAACTGCAATAGTCTGACTGTATTCCAGACTCCTATTCCGATCATTAGGTTAAGCCTAAAATGAAAGAGCAGGGTCTAATACAAGTAGATGCTTGTCATTTTCTCCCCCTTCCAATTGACTTTGCCTTCTTGGTTGCAACTCTTTCTTGTCTCTTTTTTCTTTTCTCAAACGAAGTTTATTATAGGAGCTGGTTTATCTTTACAAGGAATATATGTTTTCAGAATGTAATTTCAGGTGCAGCCTGGAACACATACTGATCCTATACATAGGCTACTGATGCAGATGGAGGATGCAGAATGGGCTGGAAACTTATTTTGGTGGTTTGGGTTTTTTTGGTTTTTTTTTTTTTTTTTAGTAGAAGGCTTGAAAATGTGTTTTGTGAGAGTACTTTTTAAATAGAAAAAATATTACTCCTATCACTTTCAATTATGAAAATAGTTGCCCACTGAATACTTGTATGTCAGTTATACCTGATAAGATATTCATGTTTACATTATCTGAATCTTTTCAGGTAAGTGGCTTTAAGTAGTAATTTTTGTGCTCTCTCCTGATTGCAGCTTGTTCCTCCTGACTTTTGTTTTGCAGGCATTACTGGGTCATACTGACACTGTCACATGCTTAACAGCATCACTAGCTTATCATATAATTGTGAGTGGATCACGGGATCGCACCTGCATCATCTGGGATTTGAATAAACTCTCTTTTCTAACACAGCTTCGAGGTCACAGGGCTCCAGTTTCAGCACTCTGTATAAATGAATTAACGGTAAGAACCAAATACCATTCGCCAGTGTGCAGTGGGAACAGTAGCGAGAACAACAAACCAGGCTCTTCTGCTAGTTTTGACAAACTCATCTGAACACTAATTAGCTGGTTTAGGGAATAATTTGCTGCTTTTGTCCAGAGGCGCAGGTGGGTTTATTCTGTGCAGAGCAGCTTGAGCTTGGAAGGGCTCATTAACAGTGGCTGGCAGCAGGGTAGCTAGTGTGGCGTTCAAAGTGGATTGTCAAACCTGCTGCAGGAGCTAAGAAAAGATTTTGATATGTGACCTTGGTTGACTTCTGTTCTCTTATGCTTAATTTAAAGGAAGCAGAAGATACCTTGGATGAAGCTGCAGTGACAATTGTAGCAGAAACAGACTTATCCTAAAAGCTTGTCTCCCTGGCGGTCCTGGGATTTATGGGTTGCCACTTATCCAGCACCCATGCGCGGCAAAGAATTTGCCTGGGTTGAAACTTTATGTAGCTGGTCCATCAGGCTGGATGGACCATGTTGCAACTGGCACAGATGTGGCGATTGAAATCAAGACAAAACAGGGCTGTAATGCAAAGAAGGGGTAGCAAGACACACAGTTTTTTAGCTGCTAGTCATCTGGTGGTTGTAGTGTTGCCAGTGTTTTAGTCCGCAGCTCCTGTTTCCCCTCTGCACTAGTTTGCATCATCGCTTGCTCTTCTCCCAGTAAGGAAACAGAAGAAATTTAAGGTGGTACATGTTTGTGAAAAAGAGCAGAGTCAGTATGAACAGAGTCTTTGGAAACTGAGAAGGGGAAGTACTGAAAATACACTGTTGGATTGTTATGCTGTGAAAGGTAGAGGAATTGGTCTACTCATTGTATGCTGTAAATACAACAAATAGGTTGCTACTAAGACTGATTTTCTGTATACAATTTTAAAAATCACCTATCATCCTAAAGATTTATTTAGGTGGCCAAACTCAGCTTGAATAGAACTTCCTGAAAAGTGCCAGCCTCGATGGCTGAACTTGGCTTATAAATGAACCTGGCTTATATTTTTGCTGAAGAGAACTTGAGGCTTCTATTGAAATATGGTGGTGGTGTTTGTCTTTGCAGGGCGATATTGTATCCTGTGCTGGCACTTACATCCATGTATGGAGCATTAATGGCAGCCCCACTGCAAGCGTAAACACTTTCACTGGCCGAAGCCAGCAGATAATGTGTTGCTTTGTGTCAGAGATGAATGAGTGGGATACCCAGAATGTCATAGTCACGGGGCACTCAGATGGAGTTGTCCGGGTAAGTACCAGGAATCACTGCTGGGAAAAATATGTTTGTGCATTAGTAGTAGTAGTTAGAGAAGTCATATCTACCCAACGGAGTGTCCTGGCCAGTACCAAAAGCAGTCCTGTGATACTTGGGTGCTCCTCCTGAACAGTGAGTCCTGCAGGAAGGAGGGAGTGCAGGCTGGGCAGACTGCTTTTGGTGCTGGAACCAGCTGTGCCATTTCTGCACAGGGTGGAGCACTGTATCCTGTCCACAGGTTAGTTGGACACTGAGGATTCATGGCAAACTCTTTCAGCGAGCTGACCTTCCTATGCAGTCTTTCGGTGTTCTTTCTCCTTTTCAATGCACCCGTTGTGACGTGGTAACTAGCAATAGTCAGCAGCATACATTTTCCTTCGTTTTGGTCATCTTGTTTCATTCCTGGAGATTGTAGCTTTCGTTCATCATTTTTGTTCTACACACCTTGAGACAATTCATTTTGCTGCCTAGAAAGAAAAGAGAAACTTTGGTGGCATCTCTGATCCCTGTGAGTCTAACCCAGTTTTCAGTACTTTGCTATGTGCAGTCCTGGGTCTGCCTTAACCGGAGTCTACTGGTCAGATTGCTACATGGAGTAGTAGGTAACAGCACAAGACTTGCTCACTTGTGATTCAGGCATGAACACAGATGTCCACTTATAGTATCTAGCCCCTGAAAGCAGGGCTTAGTATGGAGACGTGAACTGCCTCTCATACTAGCAGGGCAAACCCATAGTTTCTAATAAGCCAGTTCAACTCTAGAAGTAGCTCAGAAGAAAGCTAAGCGTTCAATATGTGCCACTTTGCTTATCCCCTGTCCCTGCAGTTCTGGCGGATGGAGTTTTTGCAAGTACCAGAAACACCAGCTCCAGAGCCTGTGGAGATGCTGGAAATGCAAGAGGATTGTCAGGAAGCACAAATAGGTATGTCTGCTGACAAGTGCTTTACCTGATCTTTGCTGTGCATAGGTAAAATCCTGTGGTTATACAGTGCAGAATGGACAATGGGGATTTTGTCTCAAAAGACAGTAGACATCCAGTGGGCATAATAAATAGAGCATCCGAGTTCTTTGTTCACCAACTTGCTTGGGGTAGTTTCATACTGCTATGAGTAAGAAAACATCATGCCCATTATAGCTTTTTCTCTGCGAAGATTGAACTTTTCTCTGTGTGGTTGTTTCTGCTATTGGTGAATCCAACGGATGCTACCATAGTCCAAAAGCTGGATTTTTTTTAAACTTTTTTTTTACATTATTTTAAACAGTCTTACAGCATAACAGCAGAGTTAAAAAATCTACTGATGGAATAGCATGCTGTTTGAACAAGCCGTGCTGGCCATATCATTTTCCTTTGTCAGAAGATGCTTAAGGGGTGTTTCTGTTAGCCATCTCATTTCATCTTGCCCTCTTCATACTGAAGATATGCTCTGGATCACATGATACTCACTAGTAATTATTATATAAATACAGCTCTTTTTTTTTTTCAGTGTCACTAGGCATATAAATATCTTTGGCAGTTGCTTTTTCGTATTAACAAAACCTGTTATTAACAGATCTGCATTATGTTTCTCAGTCTGGAGTTTCAGTAGAGCTGACTGTGCTTACTTGTGTAAGTTTTGCTGAACAGCACCAGGATTTGGTTTTGCTAACTTCAGCGTTTTTGAAAATTTTACTCATCATAGCTTACCTCAGATGGTCTATCGTAGGAAATAGCTAAGGAGTGCTGTCTTCTGACAGACCAGCATGAAAAAGATGAACAGTGTGATTCCTGGCAGGAGCTGAATCTCTGCAAAAGTTTTGAGATACCTGCATGTGGTTTCCCTCTAGTCATTCTGTGGTGGTACCTGTTGGGTTGTAGGTAGAGCAGCAGCAGAAGAGGGGAAAAAGCTCAGGCTATAAGCAGCCTTGCTAACAATGTCTTCTCCTCTGTTGGGTGATTCCAGGGCAGGAAGCCCACGAAGAGGACAGCAGTGACTCCGAGGCAGACGATCCATGCATAGGCCAGGACTCAAAACTGCAGGAAAGCCAGAGTCAACCAAGCAGCACCAGCCACAGGCCTAGGTCATCATCAAACAGAGCAGCGGCGGCGTGGTCAGCAGACAGCGGCTCTGATGATTCCAGGCGTTGGTCAGACCAGCTCAGCTTGGATGAGAAAGACGGCTTTATCTTTGTGAATTATTCTGAGGGACAAGCAAAAATGCATCCCCATGCTCAGGTTAACCACCCACACCCCAGCTATGCTGAAGCACGGCACTACAGCAAGCTTAAACCAGGTAAAAGGAATTTGGCACACTGCCTGTGTCAGATAAATGTGCTGTGTCAGCACTAACCCATAAAGCCGTCTCCCGCTGTCTATGTGGCTTTGAGCAGCATTGGCTGATAAATTCCAAAATGGTCAGTGAAAAGAAAAAATTGTGTGCAAAGGTTGCATGTTGTTAAAGCTTTTCCTGAGAAGCTGTGGTCAGATACCCTGGCCGGCAGCTAAGGCACTCGGTCACCACCACAACCCCCTGCAGCGAGATGGTGGAGAGGATAGAAAGAACAAAAGCAAGGGAACTCACAGGTCAAGATAAGGATAGTCTAACAAGCGAAGGAAAGAGGAAGACAAAACAAGCCGTGCAAAGGCAAGCACTTGCCACCTCCCGCCAGAAGAATGGTGACCAGCCAGTCTCTGAGCAAATGGCTGCCTTCCCTGAAAACCCTGCACCTCAGTTTGATTGCCGAGCATGATGTTCTACAGTGTGGAATATCCCTTTGCTCAGTTTGATCAGCTGTCCAGCTAGTGTCCCCTCCCAACTTACTGCACTCCTCCAAACTCCTGACACAGGTTTGGGGGGCAGAGCAGAGTGGGGAAAAAGAGGCAACCTTGATGCTTTCCAAGTACTGCTGAACAACTGCCAAAACACTGGTGTGTCATCAAAACTGTCTTGGTCACATATCCCAAACACAGCATCGAATGAGCTGTTACGAAGAAAATTAGTGACAGCTGGAAATCCAAGTCTTGGCTTTAAAAATAAAATAAATTAAAAAAAAAAAGAGGTTATCCCAGTCCTGTCAGGCCTTGATACAGGACTTCCCAGTGTATGTCACCATTCTCTGCCTCTCCAGAGAAACTGGAGGCTCCGTGCGTTGTTTTGTATCCTCTCCTTGCTTACGTGCATTGGGGAGCAGTTGAGAAATGTTTTTTCCCTGAGTGAAACTTGAGACAGTTCTCTCTGGGGTTAGATTTTTTTTCTTTCTACAAAGTCACACGTACAGGTATGGTGGGGGAGGAGGGAACAAAAATAAGAACAAGCAAATTCGCTTTTTCATTTCCTTCTTCCCTCTCATTTCTAGGATACAGATGGGAGCGTCAGTTGGTGTTTAGAAGCAAACTAACTATGCACACGGCATTTGATCGCAAAGACAACGCCCATCCAGCAGAAATCACTGCACTCGGCATCTCTAAGTGAGTAGCTCCCGCGCCGATCGCTTAGAACATTTCTCCGGTGTTGTCAGC